GTTATGTTTCTCTAACATATATGTAATGTATGTAATGGTTATATTTTGCTGATATCTTTAGTGTTTTCCTTCTTGTCTGAATTTTCCATCTGTCGATTTCCAGGTTGGGAAGCACTAGTACAATCAACTGACTCCGAAAGCTCGACGAAAAGGTGAGTTACAATGCATAGTATAATATACTTTTGGGTTGATGATGATTTTTCGGCTGCTCGTAGTTAGACTGAATATATACACTTTTGGATTGATGATACCTTTTCTGCGTGTTTATTTCGATTTGATTAAATGTCCTGTATATATGTTGGAACCTAGCTCGAATCGGCCTGAGTAATGAAGCAACTTGTCTGAATTCGCCTGAAGTTTGAGAAACTTGACTTAGTTTTTGTCCGGTTTGGCTGAAGGACTAGTCTCGTTTTTATTAGAGAACACGGACCTCAATTTAACCAGAAGAGTTTCCGATCCTATCATATTATAACTGACTCATATTACAAAAACTTATTCAAATTAAAAAAATATATATATTACCAAACAAACAAAGTTTCAAGTGCTTAACATACATACATAATATTCTACCTTCGCTGCATTATTACACAGTTTATTGTAGATAAATCCTTAATTAACATCGTTGAAGCTGCATTAGGACAGTAGTGCATAATCTTATGTTTCAGGTTTAATCCCTGCGGGAATATCGACCTTTGATTTTCTGCATCTCTGTAAAAGCTTCTTTCATGTTTATTCTATCACCAGAAGATTCCGCACAACACTTCAAAGCCAACTCCAGTATTGATGACACGCATTGCACGTTTTTCTCAAAGGCTTGTTCGTTTTCCGTATTCAATAAATTGGCATCTATAACCTCACTTGATGACTCGTTATTAAGTGAGCTTTGAACCCAACTCTTTAGGGTTAAATCTCCACCAAACATATCGTCGCTCGGCCTTTTTCTCGTAAAAGTTTCCATCACCATCACTCCATAGCTATAAACATCACACCTTGTCGAAACTAACCCTTCCAAGCCATACTCTACAAAAAACAATTGTATAATTCAATAAATCAAAAGTGATATCCAATCGAAAATATATATAAATAGTATGAGTGAAAGTGAGAATATTAACTAACCAGGTGCAATGTAACCCATTGTTGCTAGGGTGTTGGTGTGCACAGCGCTCTCACCTTCGCCCATCAATTTTGATATCCCGAAATCACTCACATGTGCAACCATTTCTTCATCCAACAACACGTTGCTTGGCTTCAAATCACAATGAACAACGAGAGTCGAATAGCCATGGTGAAGATATTCCAAAGAGCATGCAACATCTATCATTATGTTCATTCTTTCCATGAGATCCAAGCAATAGTTGTGCGAATATAACCATTGGTCGAGGTTTCCGTTTGGCATGTATTCAAGTACCAGTGCCTTGAAATCCTCGTTAGAGCAACTGCTCACGACTTTGGTGAGATTTCTGTGGCGGATGTTTCGTAGTACCTCGCATTCGACTTCGAAGCTCTTCGAAGAAGCTTCCGATAACGAATTGAAGACCTTGACAGCCAAAATTTTCCCGTCTCTTAGAACGGCTTTGTACACAGAACCAAAACTCCCCACGCCGAGTAAATTCGTCTCACTGAATTGTTCAGTTGCTTGTAGGAGTTCGTAATACGAAATTCTTTCTAGAGGTACAGTGGGAACCAGCCCGTCAATTTCATTGACTGCCTTATTTTTTCTTCTGTATCTAACGAAAATGAAGACCAAACAGAGAAGCGATATAAATGCGACAACTCCAATAAGAATAAATAAAGCTAAGCGCCCCCTTTTCATCCTTGACCTGCGTTTGGAAACGTCATGGTTGCAAAGTGGTACATTGAACCTTGGGATTCCGCATAATGCATCATTACCCTTAAAAGACTCGATAGTGAAGTTTACGAAAGGACCACCGGTGGGAATTTCTCCTCTCAGAGCATTGAAAGAGACATTAAAGTAGTCAAGGTGTTCAAGTGCTTCAAAAGACTTTGGGATTGATCCAAATAGGTTATTGTAAGACAAGTCTATACTTACCAAACTGATCATCCTCCCCACGGATTCGGGAATAGAACCTTCCAGTAGATTATGTGCCAAAGAAAAATTCGTCAGAGATATTAAATTTCCGATCGTGCTTGGAATAGACTCTGACAACCGATTCATTGATAGATCGATCATGGTTGCTGACACTAAATTACCTATTTCCGGAGGTATAAACCCGCTCAAGGAATTTGAGGATAAGTTCAGCTCCAGCAGATCTTTGAGGCGCCACACGCTCGATGGTATGATTAAAGACAACATGTTGGAATTAAGATAGAGATTTCTTAAGGATGTGATATTCCCTAAACATTCCGGTATTCGACCGGAAAATTTATTTTGATTTAAAGATAAATAAACCAAGCTGCGTAAATCGCAAAGACCCTCTGGAATGGAACCTATCAGATTGTTGGTATGTAGATCTAATCCTTGAAACTTGTGCAAATGGCTAAGAGTAGGTGGAATGTTACCAGACAACTCGTTCATGTTTAGAGCAAGTGTCACGAGGTTGGTTAAGTTGCCGATTTCTGCGGGGATGATTCCCTTAATTTTACATTTCATAGCAAATAAACCTTGCAGCGAGGAAGACAAATTCCCAACGGAAGGTGGAATGATGCCTTGGAGAGGATTATCACTAATTGAGAGGATTCTTAATGATCGGCAATTAGTCAAGGAAGTTATGAAGCTCAATTCTGAAGAAGTTGTTTTGGCCCTTATATTGTTTTTGTTAATGCCTAGAATTTCAAGGTTTCTTAGGTTACCGAGAAAATGAGGTACAAAACCAGCGAAGTTGTTATCACTTAGTGCGAGAATTCTGAGTTTCGAGATGTTGGTGATTGAATCGGGTATTGCTCCGCTGAGGTCATTTCCTCCGAGGTAAAGTTCTTCAAGAGCGGGTAACCCGTGATCCAAATTAGTTGGAAGACTGCCTGACAAACTATTAGATGTCAAACCAAGAATTCGAAGATTTGATATGTTAAAGAGCTCCGATGGAATAAAACCAGTGAAGTTGTTATGGCCTAAATTTAAGGTATCCAGTTGGAAAAGTTTGCCAATTTCTCGTTCTACACCACCTGTCAAAGGTTAAAAAAAAAATAAGCATTGCAACTATGGAGAAACAAATAATATTGAAAGTCTATATACCTGTTAACTTGTTGTCCGAGATGGACAAGTAGTTGAGATTTGTAAGATTCCCGATATCTTTTGGGAGGTTTCCGGACAGTAGGTTGTGATGTAGGTTCAAACCTTGGAGGGAAGAAATATTGAAGATAGTGAGGGGAATTGTACCACTAATCTGGTTTCGTTCAATGCCAAATCGAGCGAGATTCCAAAGATCGCCAATCTCGGGTGGGATAACACCTACGGAAATCGCAAAGCAATTGTTAAAAAAAATAAAAATACATGGCATTGATTTCCAAGATGAAAATTTTAAACGAGAGAGTGAAGAAATATTATACCATTTAAATTGTTAGTCCCAAGATATAAAATCTGAAGAAAATTTAACTTGCCAAGTGCTTTTGGTATCTGCCCACTGAAGGAGTTGGAAGACAGTGATATTTCTCGAAGCTGCGAACATTCTGACAGGCTCGACGGAATTTCGCCGCTCAGCTTATTAACAGATAGGTAAATTCTGCGAACACGTGGAAGATGAGTGCACATGTCACTTGGAAGGCTGCCACTCAATTCGTTTCCGGTGAAGCCTATAATCTCCAAGGTCGATATGTTAAATATGGATGACGGTATAGAACCCGAGAGACGATTATTCTGAATGGCCAAAACTTGCAGATTCTGAAGCCTCCCGAGATCTTGTGGGATAAATCCTTGAAGAGAGTTTGAAGTAAAATCAAGAAGCTGTAGATTTGTCAGATTAGAAAGGGAACTCGGGATGGAACCGGTAAAGCTGTTATTCCGTAGAGATAGATGCTCGAGTTTAGTTAAAAGACCCAACCACGGTGGAATCTCTCCACTGAAGCTGTTTGCTACGAGAGAAATAGACTTCAGTCTGTGTAAGAAAGACAACTGTTGAGGCAGAACACCACCGAAAAGGTTGTAACTAAGATCGAGTGAAACGAGGAAGGAAAGGTTTCCTAGTTGCGGTGGAATTATGCCAGAGAGATTCATGCGTGAAATAGCGAGTGCCGTCACACGATTGTGGCGCAAACCGCAAGTGACGCCAATCCAGCTGCAGACAGAGCTTGAATTGGTCCAATTTTTGGCAAGTATGTTATCGGGATCCAAAGTGATGTGAGATTTTAGGGCAAGAAGTGCAGATTTATCGGTGGTTGAATCTTTTACGGCTGCTGCTATTAGGCAATATGATGACATAATTATTTGGAGGAGTATGACTGTACATGCAAGAATGTGATAGCAAGTTTTCTCCATGGCTGCAAAAATATATTATGGTGATATTTTTAAATATATATGTATAGAGAGAGAGAGAGAGAGAGAGAGAGAGAGAGAGTTATGATCTAGAATTTTGTTGAATTTATAACTGATAGCACACTTGACGTCATTTGTCTCCAAAATCTAATTATAAAGAAAATAATACAAACTGAGATAGTTATGACAGAGTGAAACATGATAGTTTCAAAGTCTTCATTGATGTGTCTGCTTTTCCACAAACTTCAACAATTGAGGCAGCAGCCAACAAAGACTTGTGCTAATTCATACACTCGCAAATTTTGTCCTTTAATGTTTTATTTATTAATTTTTTTTTTTGGTGTCAATCGCGGGTATGATTTTTAATATCGATGTGCAACGCACGTGTACCTATCTACTAATTTCAAAGTCTTTGAAAATTGCAAAAACCCACCGGAGTGTTTTTCACTTTTCACGACCTGTCAACGAGGAGATGAAAATGGGCTGAGTGAGTACCGTGTTTTTTTTTTTTTTTTTTTTTTTTGGATCAAAAAAAAAAAGAGTACTGTGTTGTCTAAAAATAAACATAGGGGGTAATTTCACTGAGTTATTTGCACGGCCCCCAAACAATGTTAAAAACAATGGCAAAAAGACCCATCACATGGGACTTAAATGCATTTTGGTCCACAAAAATAACAGTCTCTCAATTAAGCCCATCCCATGTCTTTAGTCTAAAATACCCTCAATAATATAATTCTTATCTATTCCACCCAATATGATCTAACTTCCTTAATATTACACATTGACTCCGGATTTAAACAAATATATCACATTAACCCCCAAAATTTTTTTTTTTCAGAAAATAATTTTTTTTCTGAAATGTTTTTTTTCCGGCCAGATTCCGGCGTTGACCGCCGGAGACCGCCGGTCTCCGGCGTTGACTTTTTTTTTTTTTTTTTTTTTTTTTTTTTGAATTTTTTTTTCCTGAATTTTTTTTCCGGCCGGTCAACCACCGTTGACCGCCGGTCTCCGGCGTTGACTTTTTTTTTTTTTTTTTTTTTTGAATTGTTTTTTCTTAGAAAAAAATATTTTAATTAATATTACTGTCTTGACTACTAAATTACTGTCTCAGACAGTAATATTACTGTTTGGGACAGTAATATTACTGTTTGGGACAGTAATATTATGAATATTATTTTTCCGAACAGTAATATTATTAATATTATTGTCTAAGACAATTAAATTACTGTTGGAAACAGTAATTTAACATCCAAGACAGTAATATTAATTAAAATAAACTTTTTTTAAGGAAAAAAATTAAAAAAAAAAAAGAAAGTCAATTAACAGTTAAATTACTGTCTCCGACAGTTAAATAACTGCTGGAGACAGTAATTTAGCAACGAATACAGTAATATTAATTAAAAATATTTTTTTTAAGAATAAAAAAGTCAATTAACAGTTAAATTACTGTCTCCGACAGTTAAATAACTGCTGGAGACAGTAATTTAGCAACGAATACAGTAATATTAATTAAAAGTATTTTTTTTAAGAATAAAAAAGTCAATTAACAGTTAAATTACTGTCTCCGACAGTTAAATAACTGTTGGAGACAATAATTTAACAACGAATACAGTAATATTAATTAAAAATATTTTTTTTAAGAATAAAAAAGTCAATTAACAGTTAAATTACTGTCTCCGACAGTTAAATAACTGCTGGAGAGAGTAATTTAGCAACGAATACAGTAATATTAATTAAAAATATTTTTTTTAAGAATAAAAAAGTCAATTAACAGTTAAATTATTGTCTCCGACAGTTAAATAACTGCTGGAGACAGTAATTTAGCAGCCAAGACAGTAAAATTAATTAAAATATTTTTTTTAAGAAAAAAAAAAAAAAAAGTCAACGCCGGAGACCGGCGGTCAACGCCGGAATCTGGCCGGAAAAAAAATATTTCAGAAAAAAAATTATTTTCAGAAAAAAAAAAAAGTTTTGAGGGTTAATGTGATATATTTGTTAAAATCCGGGGTCAATGTGTAATATTAAGGAAGTTAGAGCATAATCGGTGGTATTGATAAGAATTAGGGTTAAAATTGGGGTCAAAATTGAAATTAGGGTTAAAATTGGTTAATTGATGAAATTGGGCTAAATTGGGGTGTAAATCATGAAATTGAAGTTGAATTGGGTTTCAATGAATTATGGGTAATTTTGGTATATATAAAAGGATTTTCCTTATTTGCAAATAAGTTTGAATGGGGTGGATTTATTTGGAAGACAAAAAAGTTGGATGTCCCTATTTTAATTAAGTGCACTTGTCATGGGCTTTTTTGTGATTACCCCTAAAAAAATTAGCAATTAACCCCCTATGTTGCTTTTTATTTAGTTCAGTGCCCCTTAGTGGAAATAAATATGTTGACTAACAGAAAGTGACTATACTATCCTCATTAAAATACAACATAAAACAAAATAAAAAACAAAAAATAACCAAAGAAAACCTAAAAAAGAAAAAAAAATTAGAAAGAAAAATTAGTAATAAAAATAAGTCAGCCATCTCCAACCCAACACCACTCTTCCCATCTCCACTGCCATATATAAGTACTCTCCTCCACTCGCCATGGTCATCTTCGTATCGTACACCACACTCACGATGAAGGCATCGAAGGCGGAGAAGCAGTAGCCACGAAAGCCTATAAGGCTATAATGGTGGGCTACTATCGGGAGACGTGGAAAAAATGCAAAAAATAGTTTTTTTCGTGGATTTTTTTCTCTGAAAATCCCTGCTCGATGGAGCATATATTTTTCTTGGATTTTCGCGGGTTGTTGATGGGTTTTGCAAAAGAATAATGAGCTTGAATCTTAACTCCAAACCGAACCGAATTTCGTCGGAGAAAATGTTAGAGTGGTGGGACGAAGCAGAGGCTGAAGATATGGAGGGAGGTGAGGCCGGAGAGAGTGTTCGCCGGAAGAAGATCGGCGGTCAGCTATGTTCAGTTTTGGGAAAATTGCAAACCAGTCCCTAGTTTAAGGAAGAAGAGGGCTTTTCTGAAACTTGAAGGGACTGAATTGAAAAAATTGAAAACTTTATTTTGGGGCTTATTTTTAAAATTTAAAATGTAGGGTATTTGGATCTTTTCACGTCAAAAAAATCGTACCCAATCGCACATTTGGCTAGTGTATCACACGACCAGCTCGTAGGTGCCGGATGCTAAAACCTCTAATTTCACTCTACTATGTATAATATCTCAGTGGCAGCCAACGAATATACACAAAAACATATTTATTTAGCTAGTTTGTATGATTTCATGTTTAAATGGATTACAAATCCTAAATTATAATTTTAAACTATTTTTGTGCGATTGGTGAATTTTCTGGAGAGTAAAAATTCTAACAGATCAACATGGACAATACTATCACTGATTCATATTACAAAAAACTTGCTCAAATTACAAATCTACAACCAAACAAACACACCATCAAGTGCTTAACACACAGTATTATTCTTCCCTTAATTATTACACATATTGTAGATATATGCTTAACTAACATTGTCGAAGCTTTACAACTTTGATTTTCTGCAGTGATCTAACTGTTTGCGGTGATAGAATCCCGGTGGGAATATCGAACTTTGATTTTCTGCAGCTCTGTTAAAGCTTCTTTCATGTTTATTCTATCACCAGAAGATTCTGCGCAACACTTCAAAGCCAACTCCAGTATTGATGACACACATTGCACATTTTTCTCAAAGCCTTGTTCGTTTTCCGTATTCAATAAATTGGCATCTATTACCTCAGTTGATGACTCATTATTAAGTGAGCTTTGAACCCAACTCTTTAAGGTTAAATCTCCACCGAACATTTCATCACTTGGCCTTTTTCTCGTAAAAGTTTCTATCACCATCACTCCATAGCTATAAACGTCACACCTTGTCGAAACTAGCCCTTCCAAACCATACTCTGTAAAACAACAATCGTATAATTCAATAAATCGAAAGTGAAATCCAATTAAAAGTATATAAAAATAATATGAGTGAAAGTGAGAATATTAATTAACCTGGTGCGATGTAACCCATTGTTGCTAGTGTGCTTGTGTGCACAGTGCTCTCACCTTCGCCCATCAATTTTGCTATCCCGAAATCACTCACATGGGCAACCATGTCTCCATCTAACAACACGTTGCTTGGCTTCAAATCGCAATGAACAATGAGAGTCGAATGGCCATGGTGAAGATATTCCAACGCACATGCAACATCAATCATTATGTTCAATCTTTGCATGAGATCCAAGTAGTAGTTGTGGGAATATAGCCATTGGTCGAGGTTTCCATTTGGCATGTATTCAAGTACCAGTGCCTTGAAATCCTCGTTAGAGCAACTGCTAATGACTTTGGTGAGATTTCTGTGGCGGATGTTTCGTAGCACCGCGCATTCGATTTCAAAGCTCTTAGAAGCAGCTTCCGATAGCGAATGGAAGACCTTGACAGCGAAAATCTTCCCATCTCTTAGAATGGCTTTGTACACAGAACCAAAACTCCCCATGCCGAGTAAATTCGTCTCACTGAACTGTTCAGTTGCTTGTAGGAGTTCGTAATACGAAATTCGTTCTGGTACAGTAGGAACCAACCCGTCATTTCCATTGGCTGCTTTATCTTTCCTTCTATATCTAATCAAGATGATGAATGCCAAAGAGACGAGCGAGATAAATGCAACAATCCCGGAAATAATAAATAAAGCGAAATGTGCCCTTTTCATCATCGCCCCGTGATTGGAAGCATTACGACAAAGAGGTACATTGAACCTTGGAACACCACACAATGCCTCATTGCCCTTAAAAGACTCCATAGTGAGGTTTGTGAAATGACCACCGTTGGGAATTTCACCTCTCAAACCATTGAAAGAGACATTAAAGTAGATGAGATATTTAAGTGTCTCCAAGGACTTTGGGATCGAACCAGAGAGGTTATTGTCGGACAAGTCTACAGCTTCTAAACTTATCATGCTCCCCATCGACTCGGGAATAGAACCTTCCAGTCGATTATGTGCCAAAGACAAGTTCTTCAAAGATATTAAATTTCCGAGTGTCCTTGGAATAGACTCTGACAACTGGTTCATTGATAGATTCATCAGGGTTGTTGACACTAAATTACCTATTTCTAGAGGTATAATTCCACTCAAAAAATTTGAGGACAAGTCTAAGTGCAACAAATCTGTGAGGCGCCACAGGCTTGATGGTATGCTTAAATTTAACATGTTGGAATCTAGATAGAGATATCTTAAAGATGTGATATTTTCTAAACACTCTGGTATTTGGCCGGAAAATTTATTACGGCTTAAAAATAAACTATCCAAGTTGTGTAAATCACAAAGACCCTCTGGAATGGAACCTCTCATACTGTTGTTACTTAAATATAATCCTTGAAGCTTATGCAAATGATTGACAGTAGATGGAATGTTACCGAACAACTCGTTCTCGTTGAAAGAAAATTTCACTAGGTTGCTTAAATTGCCGATTTCTGGAGGGATGATACCCTTAATTTGACAATTGAAGGCCATTAATTCTTGCAAGGAGATTGATAAATTCCCAATGGAAGCCGGAATGATGCCATCTAGAGGATTATTAGCAATTGTGAGTCTAATTAATGATCTGCAATTTGACAAGGAAGTTATGAAGCTCAATTCTGAAGAAGTTGATCCGATTCTTAGATTGTTGTTATATATGGATAGATATTCAAGCATTCTTAGGTTACCGAAAAAATGAGGTACAAAACCAGTGAAGTTGTTATCACCGAGTTCGAGAATTCTGAGTTTGGAACAGTTAGTGATCGAATCAGGTATTGATCCACTGAGTTCATTTTTTGCGAGGTAAAGTTCTTCAAGAGCGGGTAACCCGTGATCCAAATTAGTTGGGAGACTGCCTGACAGGCTATTAGCTAAAAGATCAAGAATTCGAATATTTGACATGTTAAAGAGTTCCAATGGAATAAAACCAGTGAAGCTATTAACGTCTAATTTTAATGTATCGAGTTGGTAAATATTCCCAATTTCACGCGGTATACCACCTGTACGTCAAGATTACAAAAAATTAAACGTTTTCCTATTAATATTGAAATGTCTTCCGATATAATTTTCTCAATCATACCTGTTAAGTTGTTTTGTGAGAATCCCAAGTGTTTGAGCTTTGTAAGATTCCCGATATCTTTTGGGAGGTTCCCCGACAGTTGATTGTCATTTAGGGCTAAAACTTGGAGGGAAGAAATATTGAAGATGCTTATGGGAACTGTGCCACTAATCTGGTTTTGTTCAATGGCCAATTGAGCCAGGTTCTGAAGATTGCCAATCTCGGACGGGATAACACCTATATATGGAACACACAAATCAACTGTTAAAAATATATATACGTACAATCCTCATCAAATCTATGTCAATCATAACGACATTGATATATCCAAGTTGAATTTAAACGAAACAACATTGATATACATACCATTTAAACTGTTACCCCCGAGATATAAAATCTGAAGAAACTTTAACTCGCCAATTTCTTTTGGTATCTGCCCACTAAATGAGTTGTAGGATAGGGATACAACCCGAAGTTGTAAACATTTGGATAGATTTGATGGAATTTCGCCACTCAATTTATTTTCCGATAGGTAAATTCCTTGAACAAGTGGAAGATGAGTGCACAAGTCACTTGGAAGGCTACCACTCAATTCGTTTCCTGTGAAAGACATATATTTTAAGGCTGACAGTTTATATATGGATGACGGTATAGGGCCCGAGAGATGATTGTATATCATGGATATAGTCTGCAGATTGTGAAGCCTCCCCAACTCTTGTGGAATAAATCCTTGAAGAGAATTGTAATAAAAAACAAGAAGTTGTAGATTTGTTAGATTAGAGAGAGAACTCGGGATGGAACCGGTAAAGCTGTTATTCCCTAGAGACAGAAACTCGAGTTTAGTTAAAAGACCCAACCACGGTGGAATCTCTCCACTCAAGGTGTTTGCTCTGAAAGACATAAACTTCAATCTGTGTAGAAAAGACAATTGTTGAGGAAGAACACCACTGAGAAGGTTGAACTTAAAATCGAGTGAAACGAGGAAGGAAAGGTTTCCTAGTTGTGGTGGAATTGTGCCTGAAAGACCCATGTAAGAAATATTCACTGCAGTTACTCGATTATGGCGTAAACCGCAAGTGACGCCAATCCAGCTACAGACAGAGCTCGAATTAGTCCAATTTTGGGAAAGTATGCTAGCAGGATCAAAAGTGATATGAGATTTAAGGGCAAGAAGAGCTGATTTATCGGTTTCGAGGGTGGTTGAATATTTGATGGCTAGGCAATAATAAGACATTTGGAGTAGGAGTATGACTATACATGCAAGAATGCAACAAGAAGTTTTCCCCATCATTATATTACTTACTGGAATATTATTTTGGTGATCGAACTCCTCATAACCATCGGTGATTCTTATACTGAAATTCATTTAATATATACAAACAATTTTCATAGACTTGACCTTAAAGACTTTATCAATCAATGCTGAAGCCACCTCCAACGTGTGTAATTGTTGGTAATGTATATTGTTTCATGATAACAATGTAAGACTAAAGAATCATGGAAAAACTTTGTATGAATTATATCTTATCTTTTTTTGCTTATTATTTATTATGCAGACAAGTCGGTCAATATGCTTTTTGGGCGTGGCAAATAAACTACAATAGTTGGAGAGGAGAATATTGAATATATCATTAGAATATGAATTGTAGTTTGAATAAGTAAGTGTAAAGGGGCTTTAAGTAAAAGTTAATTATAGTGCAGAGAGATTTGTTTTGTTTTGGTTTTGTGTTTTTCAAATTCAATCCACTACTCATAGTTTTATGAACTCTGCAGCCTAAAAAAAAAAAAAAAAAAAAGAAAAGAAAAGAAAAACGATAGAATGGACTTTTCGGAAATTACAATTTAACCCCAGATTTATGGTTTCTGTAATTTCAAATTTGGCCCCGTAGTTTTGTTTATTGCTGAATCAGGCGAGGTTAATTTGAAATAATTTAAAATCAGATTTAGTTCCCACAATGATTCTGAATACTTCATTGCAGTCCCCAATTTTAAAGTGTCTCTCAAAACTGTGATATACATTCAGAAAATACATTTCAACCCCCTTTTGCAGAAAGTATTTCTGAATCTCGGGTCCGTTTTCAATCAAAGACTTTTCTTTCAGAAATTTCAATCCAGTCCATCATGTTTTAAGATTTTCTTTTTTGGATTTGGGTGCAGTGGTTTATTTCTTTAAAGAACGAAGACTTGACTTTTTAAGCTTTTTGTAAAGATTTTGTGGCATTTAAAGTTTCAATTGTTTTGATGGACTGAACTAATAGGTGAATTATTTTTAGTTCAATTTAAGGTTTGTTTGATTAATAAAGTGAAATTCAATTTTAATTACCAATTGGTTATCTAGAAACCAGCATCATATCGCATAACAAAAACTTATTCAAATTGAAATATATACTACCAAACAAACGAAGCATCAAGTGCTTAACATCCAAAATTATTCTTTCCTACATTATTACACTGTTTATTGTAGATAAATCCTTAATTAACATTGTAGGAGCTGTATCAGGACATAATTAACAGCATCAGTGGTACTTGGGCAGAATCTTGTGTTTCAGATCGAACCTCGGCGGGAATATCGAACTTTGATCTTCTGCAAATCTGTTAGAGCTTCTTTCATGTTTATTCTATCACCAGAACATTCCGTACAACACCTCAAAGCCAACTCCAGTACTGATGACACACATTGCACGTTTTTCTCAAAGCCTTGTTCGTTTTCCGTATTCAATAAATTGGCATCTATAACCTCAGTTGATGACTCATTATTAAGTGAGCTTTGAACCCAATTCTTTAAGGTTAAATCCCCGCCGAACTGTTAGAGTATATTATTATATTAGATATTATCCTAATATTAGGATTCTAGTATGATTCACTTACCTAGATTAGTTAGGATTTAGTTACCTAGTCAAACTCTATTACCTTGCAATATTTCTCTATATATATTCCATGTAATCAACCCATAACATAATGGGGGTTTCTATTCTACGTATTATTATTTCTCTCTTTCTCCTATTCTATTCTTCCTATACGAACATTTCATCGCTTGGCCTTTTTCTCGTAAAGGTTTCCAACACCATCACTCCATAGCTATAAACATCACACCTTGTAGAAACTAGCCCTTCCACACCATACTCTGTACAACAACAATCGTATAATGCAACAAATCAAAAGTGAAATCCAAATCGAAAATATAAAAAGTAGTATGAGTGAAAATGAGAATATTAATTAACCTGGTGCAATGTAACCCATTGTTGCTAGGGCGTTGGTGTGCATAGTGCTCTCACCTTCGCCCATCAACTTTGCTATCCCGAAATCACTCACATGGGCAACCATTTCTTCATCTAACAACACGTTGCTTGGCTTCAAATCGCAATGAACAATGAGAGTCGAATAGCCATGGTGAAGATATTCCAATGCTCATGCAACATCGATCATTATGTTCAATCTTTGCATGAGATCCAAGCAGTAGTTGTGTGAATTTAACCATTTGTCGAGGTTTCCATTCGGCATGTATTCAAGTACCAATGCCTTGAAATCCTCATTAGAGCAACTGCTCACGACTTTGGTGAGATTTCTGTGGGGATGTTTCGTAGTACCTCGCATTCGACTTCGAAGCTCTTAGAAGAAGCTTCCGATAGCGAATTGAAGACCTTGACAGCCACAATCTTGCCATCTCTTAGAACGGCTTTGTACACAGAACCAAAACTCCATACACCGAGTAAATTCGTTTCACTGAAATTTTGAGTTGCTTGTAGGAGTTCGTAATACGAAATTCTTTCTAGAGGTACAGTGGGAACCAGCTCGTCAGTTCCATTGACTGCCTTATTTTTTCTTCTGTATCTTACGAAAATGAAGACCAAAGAGATAAGCGAGATAAATGCAACAACTCCAACAAGAATAGATAAAGGTAAGCGTGCCCTTTCCATCCTCGACCTTGACATGTGTTTCGAAACATTATGATAGCAAAGTGAAAGATTGAACCTTGGAATTCCGCATCCGTAGTGAAGTTTTCGAAAGGACCACCAGTTGGAATTTCTCCTCTTGGAGCATTGAAAGAAACATTAAAATAGTCGAGGTGTTGAAGTGCCTCCAACGACTTTGGGATTGAACCAGATAGGTTATTGTAAGATAAATCCATACTTACCAAACTGATCATTATTCCCACCGTCTTAGGAATAGAACCTTCCAGTAGATTTTGTGCCAAAGACAGATACTCAAAGATTTTAAATTTTCGATTGTGCCTGGAATAGACCCCGACAAGTGGTTAGTTGATAGATCGATGGAGGTTGTTGACAATAAATTATGTATTTCCGAAGGTATAGGTCCACTCAAGGAATTCGAGGATAAGTTTAGCATCAATAGATCTTCGAGGCGCCACATGCTCGATGGTATGCTTGAAGACAACATGTTGGAATCTAGATAGAGATTTCTTAAAGATGTGATATTTCTTAAACATTCCGGTATTCGACCAAAAAAATTACTTTGGCTTAAAGATAAAATAACCAAGTTGTGTAAATCACAAATACTATCATGAATGGATGCTGTTAGATTGTTGCTCTGTAGATCTAATCCTTGAAGCTTCTGCAAATGGTTGAGGGTAGGTGGAATGTTACCGGACAACTCGTTATTATATAAAGAAAGTGTAACGAGGTTGGTTAAATTTCCAATTTCTGCAGGGATGATACTTTAATTTTACAATTGTAGGCACCGAATATTTGGAGGGAGGTAGATAAATTCCCAACAGAAGCCGGGATGATTCCATCTAGAGGATTATCAGCAATTGCGAGCACATTCAAGGATCTGCAATTTGTCAAGGAAGTTATGAAGCTCAATTCTGAAGAAGTTGATTCGGTCCTTAGATTGTTGCCGAATAGGGATAGACATTCAAACATTCTTAGGTTACCGAGAAAATGAGGTACAAAACCAGTGAAATTGTTACGACTGAGTTCGAGAATTCTGAGTTTGGAACAGTTAGTGATCGAATCGGGTATTACTCACGTGAAATAGTTTCTAAAGAGATAAAGTTCTTCAAGAGCGGGTAACCCGCGATCCAAATTAGTTGGAAGACTGGCCGACAAACGGTTAGTTAAAAGACTAAGAACTTGAAGGTTTGACATGTTAAAGAGCTCCAACGGAATAAAACCGGTGAAGTTGTTAAAGCCTAATGATAATCTTTTCAGTTGGTAAATTTTGCCAATTTCTCGCGGTAAACCACCTGTTAAGATATTAAAAAAAATTAGGCATTGCAAAACTATAGAGAAACTAAATATATTGAAAGTCGTACCTATTAAGCTGTTGAATGAGATGTCAAAGTATTCGAGATTTGTAAGATTCCCGATATCTTTTGGGAGGCTTCCAGACAGTTGATTGTGATGTAGGTTTAAAATTTGGAGAGAAGAAATATTGAAGATACTGACTGGAATTGTTCCACTAATCCGGTTGCTTGCAATGTCAAATTGAGCCAGGTTCTGAAGATTGCCAATCTCGGAAGGGATAACACCTACATATATGGAACACACAAATCAATTGTTTTTACAAAAATACGTAATTTAATCAAGAAACGGAAAAATTATATCAACCTAGTTCACAAAGAATGTGAATTATTATACCATTTAAGTTGTTACCCCCTAGAGCTAAAATCTGAAGAAACTTTAAATTGCCAATTTCTCTTGGTATCTTCCCACTAAAGGAGTTGTGAGACAGTCCGACAGTTTGAAGTTGTTAACATTCGGATATATTCGATGGAATTTCGCCACTCAGCTGATTACGAGATAGGTAAATTTGTTGAACAAGTGGAAGTTTACTGCAAAAGTCACTTGGAAGGCTGCCACTCAATTCATTTCCTGTGAAAACCTCTGTTACACAGACACGGCAAACACATGAAGTTTCCCCGTGTCGGAAACGTTTCGGACACGAAACGCGAAGACACCTTTAAGAAACGCTGTTGGGCCGTGTCTGTAATATTTGAAAAGTTGGACACGCGTGTCAAGGGAAAAAAAAAAGAATTTTCTTTTTTACAAATCTGATTATTTGGGTTTTTGTGAAACTGGAGGAATAAATTGGCAGCTCTCTCTCATTAATCCGATAATTAATTGCAAATTTATTTGAATAAACGATTAAACGTATTAAATATTCATGTATATTTTAATATTGTACATAAAAAATAAAACATAATTTAGTAATAATTTATAAATAAACCCCTATATTTTTAATATTTACACGTATCCCCCACGTTCCCGTGTCCTACTTTTTTTGATTAAGTGTATCCCGGTGTCCGTATCCGTGTGTCGCCGTGTCCCCGTTCCCGTGTCTATGTAACATAGGTGAAAACTATAGACTCCAGGGTTGATATGTTGAATAGGGATGATGGTTTTTGACCGGAGAGACGATTGTAAGCAAAACTAAGAAGCCGTAGATTTGTCAGGTTAGAGAGGGAAGTGGGAATGGAACCGGTAAAACTGTTATTCCGTAGAGATGGATGCTCGAGTTTAGTTAAAAGACCCAACCACAGTGGAATCTCTCCACTCAAGTTGTTTACTTTGAAAGAAATAAACTTCAATTTGTGCAGTAAAGACAACTGTAGAGGCAGAACACCACCGAAAAAGTTGAAACTATAATCGAGTGAAACGAGGAAGGAAAGGTTTCCTAGTTGTGGTGGAATTGTGCCTGAAAGACCCATGTAAGAAATATTTAACGCCTCTACTCGATTATGGTGCAAACCGCAAGTGACGCCAATCCAGCTGCAGACAGAGCTCGAATTTGTCCAACTTTTGGCAAGTGTGTTTTCAGGTTCCAAAAGTATATGAGATTTCAGGGAAAGAAGGGCAGATTAATTGTTTGATAAAAATGTATGACTAAAGAATCATGGAAGAAGGATGTTGGGTATCCGCCCGGAGAAACAATCGGAAATAAAACAGCCATTATATTCACTAAATTAATATGCAAAACAATTATGGGAATAGGGGTACGGAATACAATCACACAGAATATTAACTACTGTTAATATTATTTAACCTTAACAACAAAAACCAAGCATAACAATTATAATGACTTTATCAAATCAGGATAATTGCAAAAAAGGTAAGAAACAAATAAATAATATAAAACTAAAGAAATAAAGGGGGAAAAACAAAACCACGGCGAATCACACAGATTCGTGGGAGGATGAATCTCTGCCGACGATTGAGGTTTCCGGCTCAGTCTCAATTCCCATCCGTCCTCGTCCAAGACTCACCAGCCGCAGCCACGCACCCACCGGAACAAGCCCAATAGCCCAAATCCCTCTCAGATTTCTAACCGGAAAAACCCGAAAAAAAACCCAAACACACAAAGGACCAAGAGTTCGAATAAATCAAACACACACAGCACTCAACCCAACACCCAAACACTCACAAAGAGTTGAGACTCACAAAGAGTCGAATCAGTCACGAAGAAAAGATTTACGAACAAGGTGTAACGTAGGTTGAATTTTCTTGGTCTCTCTTGGTCACTGTTCTCTCACGAAGAAGAGGTCTATTTAATAGCCCCCAAGAACCGACTTCAACGGAAGCCGAGGGATCGGGATACTGGTGTCACAGATTTCCGGCGGAGAAATCGGACCAGAAAAGAGGACAAAAAAGCAGAGGGGCGAGATCAGTTTTTCGGTGGAGAAAATTAATCGTTTGTTCACGTTTTGACCTCTTACTTGGGTCAAGACCTATTTTCTCCACGTGGGCTTTTTCAAGTATGGGCTTGCTCCAAGATGGGCTGGTTACATGCTGGTATTGGGCCACAGATGAAGAAAAAATCATTTGGGCCAAAAAATCCCAATAAAGGAAAAGAACTTTGTATGAATTACATCTTATCTTATTATTTATTCTGCAGACAAGACAATTACTTACCTGGCCGGCCGAGTTGTGGGGACTTGTTCGTAGACTTGAATTTTAAAGTCAGTCTAATTTGTGGAAATTATATAGTGATGTATGCTTTTTGGCGTGGCAAATAAACTACAATAGTTGGAGAAATTACAATTTAACCCCAGATTTATGGTTTCTGTAATTACAAATTTGGACTCCTAGTTTTGTTTATTGCTGAATCAAGCGGGGTTAATTTGAAATAATTTAAAATCAGATTTAGTTCCCACAATGATTCTGAATACTGCATTTCAGTCCCCAATTTTAAAGTTTCTCTCAAAACTGTGATATACATTCAGAAAATTCCCTTTTAACCCCCAAATTAAGTATTTCTGAATCTCAGGTCCGTTTTCAATCAAAGACTTTTCTTTCAGAAATTTCGATCTAGTCCATCATGTTTTAAGATTTTTTTTGGATTTGGGTGCAGTGGTCTATTTCTTCAAAGAACGAAGACTTGACTTTTTAAGCTTTTTGTAAAGATTTTGTGGCATTTAAAGTTTCAATTGTTTTGATGGACCCAACTGAATTATTTTTAGTTCACTTTAAAGTTTGTTTGATTAATAAAGTGAAATTCAATTTGGATTTCCAATTTGTTATCTAGAAACCATCATCATATCGCATTACAAAAACTTATTCAAATTGAAATATATACTACCAAACAAACAAGTGCTTAACATGCATCCAGAATTATTCTTCCCTTCATTATTACACAGTTTATTGTAGATAAATCCTTAATTAACATTGTAGAAGCTGTATCAGGACATAATTAACAGCATCAGTGGTACTTGGGGTTTCAGATCGAACCTCGGCGGAAATATCGAACTTTGATCTTCTGCAGCTCCGTTAGAGCTTCTTTCATGTTTATTCTATCACCAGAAGATTCCGCACAACACTTCAAAGCCAACTCCAGTATTGATGACGCGCATTGCACGTTTTTCTCAAAGGCTTGTTCGTTTTCCGTATTCAATATATTGGCATCTATTACCTCACTTGATGACTCGTTATTAACTGAGCTTTGAACCCAACTCTTTAAAGTTAAATCTCCGCCGAACATTTCATCGCTTGGCCTTTTTCTAGTAAAAGTTTCCATCACCATCACTCCATAGCTATAAACATCACACCTTGTAGAAACTAGCCCTTCCAAACCATACTCTATAAACAACAATCGTATAATTCAATAAATCAAAAGTGAAATCCAATCGATAATATATAAAATTAGTATGAGTGAAAGTGAGAATATTAATTAACCTGGTGCAATGTAACCCATTGTTGCTAGGGTGATGGTGTGCATAGTGCTCTCACCTTCGCCCATCAATTTTGCTATCCCGAAATCACTCACATGAGCAACCATGTCTTCATCTAACAACACATTAATTGGCTTCAAATCGCAATGAACAATTCGTGTCGAATAGCCATGATGGAGATATTCCAAGGCACATGCAACATCAATCATTAAATTCAATCTTTGCAATATATCCAAGCAGTAGTTGTGGGAATATAGCCATTGGTCGAGGTTTCCATTCGGCATGTATTCAAGTACCAATGCATTGAAATCCTCGTTTGAGCAACTGCTAATGACTTTGATGAGATTTCTGTGACGGACGTTGCGTAGTATCTCACATTCGACATCAAAGCTCTTCGAAGCAGTTTCCGAAAGTGAATTGAACACCTTCACAGCTAAAAATTTCCCATCTTTTAGAACACCTTTGTAAACAGAACCGAACCCCCCACGGCCTAGTAAATTCGTCTCGCTGAAGTGTTCGGTTGATCGTAGGAGTTCATAATAGGAAATTCTTTCTGGTACAGTAGACAATAGCCCGTCATTTCCATTGGCTGCTTTATCTTTTCTTCTATATCTAATCAAGATGACGAATGCCAAAGAGACGAGCGAGATGAATGCAACAATCCCGGAAATAATAAATAAAGCAAAATGTGCAATTTTCATCCTTGGCCCGTGATTGGAAGCATTACGACAAAGAGGTACATTGAACCTTGGAACACCACACAATGCCTCATTGCCCTTAAAAGACTCCATAGTGAGGTTTGTGAAAGGACCACCGTTGGGAATTTCACCTCTCAAACCATTGAAAGAGACATTAAAGTAGACGAGATATTTAAGTGTCTCCAACGACTTTGGGATCGAACCAGAGAGGTTATTGTTAGACAAGTCTACAACTTCTAAACTTATCATGCTCCCCATTGACTCGGGAATAGAACCTTCCAATCGATTATGTGCCAAATACAAGTTCGTCAAAGATATTAAATTTCCGACTGTGCTTGGAATAGACTCTGACAACTGGTTCATTGATAGATTGATCCGGGTTGCTGACACTAAATTACCTATTTCTAGAGGTATAATTCCACTCAAAAAATTTGAGGACAAGTCTAGGTGCAACAAATCTGTGAGGCGCCACATGCTTGATGGGATGCTTAAATTTAACATGTTGGAATCTAGATAGAGATATCTTAAAGATGTGATATTTTCTAAACACTCCGGTATTTGGCCGGAAAATTTGTTACGGCTTAAAAATAAACTATCCAAGTTGTGTAAATCACAAAGACCCTCTGGAATGGAACCTCTCATATTGCTGTTACTTAAATATAATCCTTGAAGCTTATGCAAATGGTTGACAGTAGGTGGAATATTACCGAACAACTCGTTCCCGTTTAAAGAAAATTTCACTAGGTTGCTTAAATTGCCGATTTCTGGAGGGATAATACCCTTAATTTGACAATTGAAGGCCATTATTTCTTGCAAGGAGATTGATAAATTCCCAATGGAAGCCGGAATGATGCCATCTAGAGGATTATTAGCAATTCTGAGTGTAATTAATGATCTGCAATTTGCCAAGGAAGTTATGAAGCTCAACTCTGAAGAAGTTGATTCGGTTCTTAGATTGTTGTTATACATGGATAGAAATTCAAGCATTCTTAGGTTACCGAGAAAATGAGGTACAAAACCAGTGAAGTTGTTATCACCGAGTTCAAGAATTCTGAGTTTGGAACAGTTAGTGATCGAATCAGGTATTGATCCACTGAGGTCATTTTCTGCGAGGTAAAGTTCTTCAAGAGAGGGTAACCCGTGATCCAAATTAGTTGGAAGACTGCCTGACAGACTATTAGCTAAAAGATCAAGAATTCGAAGATTTGACATGTTAAAGAGTTCCAATGGGATAAAACCAGTGAAGCTGTTAGTGTTTAATTTTAATGTATTCAATTGGTAAATTTTCCCAATTTCACGCGGTAAAACACCTGTCAAGATTTAAAAAAAAAAATTAAACATTTGCCTATTAATATCGAAAGTCATCCGTTATAATTTTCTCGGTCGCACCTGTTAACTTGTTCTCTGTGAGTCCCAAGCGTTTGAGCTTTGTAAGATTCCCGATTTCTTTTGGGAGGTTTCCAGACAGTTGATTGCGATGTAGTCGTAAAAGTTGGAGAGAAGAAATATTGAAGATACTGAGTGGAATTGTGCCACTAATTTGGTTTAGTTCAATGGCTAATTCATCCAGGTTATGAAGATTGCCAATCTCGGACGGGATAACACCTATATATGGAACACACAAATCAACTGTTAAAATCATAATGCTAGTTGAAAGAGAATGTGAAGTATTTTATACCATTTAAGTTGTTGCGCCCGAGATGTAAAATGCGAAGAAATTTTAACTTGCCAATTGCTTTTGGTATCTGCCCACTAAATGAGTTGTAAGACAGTGATATATATCGAAGTTGCGAACATTCTGACAGACTTGACGGGATTTCGCCACTCAATTTATTACGAGATAGGTAAATTCCTTGAACAAGTGGAAGTTTACTGCAAAAGTCACTTGGAAGGCTACCACTCAACTCATTTCCTTTGAAAGATATACCCTCCAGGGTTGATATGTTGAATATGGCTGTTGGTATTTGACCCGAGAGACGATTGTAAGCAAAACTAAGAACCCGTAGATTTGTTAGATTAGAGAGAGAACTCGGGATGGAACCGGTAAAGCTGTTATTCCGTAGAGACAAATACTCGAGTTTAGTTAAAAGACCCAACCACTGTGGAATCTCTCCACTCAAGGTGTTTGCTTCGAAAGAAATAAACTTCAATCTGTGTAAGAAAGACAACTGTTGTGGCAGAACACCACCGAAAAGGTTGAAACTAAGATCGAGTAAAACGAGGAAGGAAAGGTTTCCTAGTTGTGGTGGAATTGTGCCTGAAAGGCCCATATCTGAAATATTCACCGCAGTTACTCGATTATGGCGCAAACCGCAAGTGATGCCGATCCAGCTACAGACAGAGCTCGAGTTGGTCCAGTTGGTTGTAATAATATGATAAGGGTCCAAAGTGATGTGAGATTTTAGGACAAGAAGAGCAGATTGATCTGTGAAGAGGCTAAGGCTATTTGTAGAGGTTAAGGCAAGAGAGGGCATTTGGCAAAGAATCATTAGTAGGAATGTATATGCAGCAAGAGTGCAATAACATGTTTTCTCCATGACTTACTTTGAGCTTCTATATATAAATGCTTGTTTGTCTGAGTGAATAATTCTACAATATATATATATATATATATATATATATATATATATATATATATATATATATATATATATATATATATATAGTGAAATTCCAAAATGAATTATTGCTAGATAATTATTGATGGTCTGGTCCATAAGCTCAAATCATTCACACATGATGCTTTACTTAATTTTTTTTTTTGATGTTTTGTCACGTGCTCTCTTTTTCCTCTTTCTTTGCTTTTAATTTATCACTTTTATTTTCTGTCTGTAGCGCTGTTTTTTAGTGCTCTTGATTTTATTTTTGGGATAATTGTCTTCTTATCGAAAGAGTGTTTTCTAGCGACTTTTCGATCTTTATTTCCGCTAAATTTTAAACTTCAAAATCACTTTAATGCTTGAAAAAACACTTTTTTTTTAGCAAGATTGAATGAATAAAGTATCAGACAAAAGTGTGTATTTGCAATTGCCACTTAGTAGTAGTTTCCATTTAGTTTTGGCTTGTTGTTGTTTACTGGTTTGAATCTCCTTTTAGAGTTTAGGAAAAGTACTGCTGTAATATATATAATTTACCAAGGTTGTAAAAGGCGGTAATCGGGTCCGAGTCGGTCAGGCACCGACTCACGATTAATGGGTGCGGCGGTGATTAATCGGTGATAAATCGGAAATAAATCGGTTTTTTAAATTTAATATAATATATTTCTAAATATTATTTATAAATACTCTAAACATATATAAAAAGATATTTAAACATAGTTATATCTCCATCATGTATATATCCTAATAACATAATAAAAATTTAATAATTATAAGATCATAATACATAAATATCCTTATAAAATATAAATAAAAAAGCAAAATTTTTGAATTAACATTTATTCAGTTCTTTAACAATAATAATTAACATAAACAAAATAAGGCATAAACTCATATTTTCTTTTATTAAAATCCAACTTTTATTTCGAATTATAAAAAAAAAAAAAAAAAAAAAAAACCGATTTTTGCCACGGAGTTTGACCCGCCTTAAAGGTTTGACCGCCTCAGACCGCCTCGGACCGCCTCAGACCGCCTAAAACCGCCTCACAGGCAAAAAACCGATTTTTCAAACCTTTACACTAAAATCGTAAAGGTTTTGAACCGCCTCGGCCGATTTTTAGAACACTGTAATTTACACACAGTAGGTTCGTCTTAAGTTTCGAATAATTTAACCATCCATTGCTCGTGTTTTTCGACCTTGTTGATTTTTCAGGCAATGTGCAAGCCGTGGATTGAGAAGCCCCACGTTTCTAATATTAACAGTGTAGCTAAAATAAACCTCCAATTAGAATTAGGTGCAGCTGATAATATTGTGATTTTTGATGTAAAATGACATAGTTGCCCCTCACATCCCCACTTCTTTCTCCACCACAATTGCTATAATTTACACAGCACTAGGGGTGTAAACGAGCCGAGCTCGCCTTATTTTGTGAGCTCGAGCTCGAGTTCGCTACAAGTATACCAGGCTCGAGCTCGAGCTCGACGAGCCTATAGTTTTGAGCTCGAGCTCGAGCTCGTTTTGTTTCTAAGGAGCTCGAGCTCGTGCTCGAGCTCTTATACCAAACGAGCCCGAGCTCGAGCCCGAGCTCGAGCTCGGCATAACCAAATATTCCACTTTTTTATTTTTCTTTTGTGTTTAATTTCAATTTTCTTTTCTTTAATCAAATAACAAATTACAAGATTAAAACTAACTAATAAAGTAAATCTATTTTTTTTATTCGAATGTTAATGTCTTAGCAATAGTCTGATACTATGTCTGTCTTATTAATTTTTTTTTAAATTACAAAAGTAATATTATTCTTTTTTATTTATTATTAATAATATCCATTATTATATATTATTAATATGTATTAAAAAAATATAGAAAAAAGGTAAAGCTCGCGAGCCGGCTCGCGAGATGTCGAACAACTGATATGAAGCTCGAGCTCGATTTTTCGAAAATCGAGCTCGAGTACGAGCTTTTTTCGAGCAAGCTCAGAAAGCTCGCGAGCCGGCTCGTCTCACTTACACCCCTACACAGCTCACACACAAAACACATAACCCAATTAATCAGTCAACAATGGTTGCATCCCCTCCCTATCTTACATATTTCAATTTTGTCTCCTAAACCCTTCCGATTCAACTCCCCCAAACCAAACTCCACATTTGCAGGTTTTGAAGGAGCAAGACCTCCGGCGACATTAGCACTTGAACAATGGCGAAAATAATGGTGATTAACCTCCGTCGACATTAGCAATTGAACCTCCGGCGCCGGTTTGAACAGAAATTGGAATGGATGATGCTGCTATGGTTTCCAAGACTGCAGCTTTGGAGAAGACTGAGGAAAGATTGGGGATTTTGAAAAGCAGTCGACGACGTCGTTTTGGCTGTGAGGCAAATGGGCTCATTAAATCTTGTGGCCCGTGCACGAATTTGGGCCTTCTATTTCATGTTATTGGCCCAATGCGAGTTACAATTTCAAGTTTTGGAAACAATCCGAGTTGAAATTGGGCCTTCAATTTGAAATTTTGGGCCTGCAATTTGAAGATTTGGGCCCAATGCGAGTTGAAATTGGTCCTGTAATTTGTAGCTGTGGGCTCAATCCGAGTTGAATTTGGGTATGATATTTAAGGGTTTTGGGCCCAATCCGAGTTAATTTTGGGCCTCCAATTTGAAGTTATGGGCCCAATGGGAGTTGAATTTGAGCCTGTAATTTGAAGTTTTGGGCCCAATGAGTTGAATCAGTGGGCTACAATCTTGTAGCCCGTGAAGGAATTTGGGCCTGCAATTTGGAGTTGTAAGCCCAGTGAGTTGAATTAGTGGGCTACAATCTTGTAGCCCGTGCAGTATTTTGGGCCTGCAATTTGAATTTTTGGGCCCAATGCGAGTTGAATTTGAGCATACAATTTGAAGTTATGGGCCCATGTACGTTGAATAGTTGATGCAATCTTTTGTAATTTTTTAATTGATATAAACCTAATTATTTTTTTAATTGATTCCAAAGTTCGTTTTGTGTATAATTTGTCAACACAATTAGTTTGCAAAACCTCCGGCGACATTAGCAATTGAACCTCCAGCGAGTTGGTGAAATTGTTGCTGCTGCATTGCCGGTTCATGCGGCGGCGTGGTGTTGGAGAAGAGATAGTGTAATGGGCTGAAGAAAGATACAAGAGAATTTAGGTGTAATGGTTTTTTCTTCTTAAAAAAAAAAAAAAGAAAAAGCAAAAAGTTTAATAGTTTTTGAGGAAATTGCAATCAACTCCCTTATGTAAGTTTCAGAAATTTAACATAAATTACAATTCGGCCTCTACTTTTTTTTTATTCAGTTTGGCCTCTATTATGTGCTATTCTGGTTTTATATTATTTTTTTATTGAAGGGTATATTTGTCTTTTTACATCCAATCAATGACTAAAATCCTAATGGGTCGAGTGTGCTATTTAAAAAAATCACGGGAGGATTTTTGCTAGTTTATTTAACTTTAACAAATGGGATTTTCTACTATTTTAAAATTACAACTTTTTGCAGTTTACTCAGTCATAATATTGATAATTACTATCCAAGCTATTTTTTTCTTACAGATAAATCATACTTGTGACTAATGATTTACGTACTTAAAGGATGGATCCGCCTAACATGCTAGTATGCTACATTTTCCAATCCATTTTGTAACAACAAAAGCAATAACAAAAACTGCATAATTTAACAAGACAAAAGTATTTGGCCAAAACCAAAGTACACACCTAGAAACCACAAGAGTTTCCAGACTGATTAATATTACAAAAACTTTCTCAAATTACAAAATCTACCACCACACAAACACATCATCAAGTGCTTCACATACAGGATTATTCTTCCTTGAATTATTACACAGTTTATTGTAGATAAATGCTTAATTAACATTGTTGAAGCTGTACTAGGATAAAAGATTATCAACAACAGAGTTGTATGAGGCCTTACAACTCTGTTTCAGGTTTAATCCCGGCGGGGAAACCGACCTTGATTTTCTGCAACTCAATTAGAGCTTCTTTCATGTTTATTCTATCACCAGAAGATTCTGCACAACACCTTAAAGCCAACTTCAGTACTAACGACACACATTGCACGTTTTTCTCAAAGGCTTGTTCGTTTTCCGTATTCAATAAATTGGCATCTATAACTTCACTTGATGACTTGTTGTTAAGTGACCTTTGAACCCAACTCTTTAAGGTTAAATCTCCGCCGAACATATCATCGCTCGGCCTTTTTCTCGTAAACGTTTCCATCACCATCACTCCATAGCTATAAACATCACACCTTGTCGAAACTAGCCCTTCCAAACCATACTCTGTACAACAACAATCGTATAATGCAATAAATCGGAAGTGAAATCCAATCGAAAATATACATAAATAGTGTGAGTGAAAGTGAGAATATTAACTAACCTGGTGCAATGTAACCCATTGTTGCTAAGGTGTCGGTGTGCACGGTGCTCTCTCCTTCGCCCAACAATTTCGCTATCCCAAAATCACTCACATGGGCAACCATTTCTTCATCCAACAACACGTTGCTTGGCTTCAAATCACAATGAACAATGAGAGTTGAATAGCCATGGTGAAGATATTCCAACGCACATGCAACATCAATCATTATGTTCAATCTTTGCATTAGATCCAAGCAATAGTTGTGTGCATATAGCCATTTGTCGAGGTTTCCATTTGGCATGTATTCAAGTACCAGTGCCTTGAAATCCTCGTTAGAGCAACTGCTCATGACTTTGGTGAGATTTCTGTGGCGGATGTTTCGTAGTACCTCACATTCGACTTCAAAGCTCTTAGAAGAAGCTTCTGATAGCGAATTGAAGACCTTGACAGCCAAAATCTTCCCATCTCTTAGTACGGCTTTGTACACAGAACCAAAACTCCCCATGCCGAGTAAATTCGTCTCACTGAATTGTTCAGTTGCTTGTAGGAGTTCGTAATACGAAATTCTTTCTGGTACAGTGGGAATTCCCAGCCCATCAATTTCATTGACTGCCTTATTTTTTCTTCTGTATCTTACGAAAATGAAGGCCAAAGAGATAAGCGAGACCAAAACAACAACTCCAACAAGAATAAATAAAGCTAATCGCACCCTTTTCATCTTTGACTTGTGTTTGGAAACATTATGATTGCAAAGTGGAAGATTGAACCTTGGGATTCCACATAATGCCTCATTACCCTTAAAAGACTCGATAGTGAAGTTAACGAAAGGACCACCAGTGGGAATTTCTCCTCTCAGAGCATTGAAAGAGACATTAAAGTAGTCAAGGTATTGAAGTTTTTCCAAAGACTTTGGAATTGAACCAGAGAGGTTATTGTAAGACAAGTCTATACTTTCCAAACTGATCATCTTTCCTACGGACTCGGGAATAGAACCTTCCAGTAGATTATGTGCCAAAGACATACCACTCAAAGATATTAAATTTCCAATTGTGCTTGGAATAGAATCCGACAAGTGGTTCATTGATAGATCGATATAGTTTGCTGACACTAAATTACCTATTTCCGGAGATATAAATCCGGTCAAGGAATTCGAGGATAAGCTTAGCTCCAGCAGATCTGTGAGGCGCCACACGCTTGATGGTATGCTTGAAGTCAACATGTTGGAATCTAGAATGAGACTTCTCAGAGATGTGATATTTCCTAAACATTTCGGTATTCGACCGGAAAATTTATTACGACTTAAAGATAGTTCAACCAGGCTATGTAGATCACAAAAACCCTCCGGAATGGAACCTATCAGATTGTTGCTCTTTAGATATAGTCCTTGAAAGTTTTGCAAATGGCTAACAGTAGGTGGAATGTTACCGGACAACTCGTTTTCGGATAAAGAAAGTGTAACGAGGCTGCTTACATTGCCGATTTCTAAAGGGATGATACCCTTAATTTTACAATTGGAGGCATCGAATGCTTGGAGGGAGGTAGATAAATTCCCAACGGAAGCTGGAATGATGCCCTCTAGAGGATTATCAGCAATTCTGAGCACAATCAAAGATCGGCAATTAGTCAAAGAAGTTATGAAGCTCAATTCTGAAGAAGTTGATTCGGTCCTTAGATTGCTGTTTAACAGGTGTAGACGTTCAAGCATTCTTAGGTTACCGAGAAAATGAGGTACAAAACCAGTGAAAAAGTTATCACTGAGTTCGATAACTCTGAGTTTGGAACAGTTAGTGATCGAATAAGGTATTGATCCACTGAGGCCATTTCCTCTGAGGTAAAGTTCTTCAAGAGCAGGTAACCCGTGACCGAAATTAGTTGGAAGACTGACTGGCAGACTATTAGCTGAAAGTGAAAGGATTCGAAGATTTGACATATTAAAGATCTCCGATGGAATAAAACCAGTGAAGTTGTTAGAGCCTAATATTAATGTATCAAGTTGGTACAATTTGCCAATTTCTCGCGGTAAACTACCTGTCAAGATTATAGAAAAAAAAATTAAAATTAAAATATTTAACATGCGAATATGGTGAAACTGAAAGTATTCCAATATATTTTCTCAGTCACACCTGTTAAGTTGTTGTACGAGATGGCCAATTGGTTGAGCTTTGTAAGATTTCCGATATCTTTAGGGAGGCTTCCAGACAGTTTATTTTGATGTAGGTTTAAACCTTGGAGAGAAGAAATATTGAAGATAGTGAGGGGAATTGTGCCACTAATCTGGTTTCGTTCAATGGCTAATTGAGCTAGGTTTTGAAGATTGCCAATCTCGGACGGGATAACACCTATATATGGAAACACACAAAACAACTGTTAGACAAATACTTTCTTGAATGAAGTTTCAATCATCATAACTATTGAGATTTATCCAGGTTGAATTTAAAGGAGTAATGTGAAGTATAATAATAAATACCACTTAAGTTGTTACCCCCAAGATATAACATCTGGAGATATTTTAAATTGTCAATTTCTCTTGGTATTTGTCCACTGAAGGCGTTGTAAGACAGTCCGACAATTTGAAGTTGTGAACATTCGGATAGATTTGATGGAATTTCGCCACTCAATTGATTTTCCGATAGGTAAATTCGTTCAAGGAGTGGAAGATGACTGCACAAGTCACTTGGAAGGCTGCCACTCAATTCATTTTCTGTGAAAGATATAGCTTTTAAGGCCGACAGGTTAAATATGGATGACGGTATAGGACCCGAGAGGTGATTGAATTCCATGAATAAAGTCTGCAGATTGTGAAGCCTACCCAGTTCCTGCGGAATATTTCCTTTAAGAGAATTTAAAGAAAAATCAAGAAACTGTAGATTTGTCAGATTAGAGACGGAACTTGGAATGAAACCGGTAAAGCTGTTATTCCATAGAGATAGATGCTCGAGTTTAGGTAAATAGCCTAACCACGATGGTATCTCTCCACTCAGGATGTTTACTTCGAGAGAAATAAACTTCAATCTGCGTAGAAGAGATAATTGTTGTGGCAGGACACCACTGAAAAGGTTGTAACTAAAATCGAGTGAAACAAGGAACGAGAGATTTCCTAGTTGTGGTGGAATTGTGCCCGAGAGACTCATGTCTGAAATGTTCACCGCAGTTACTCGATCGTGGCGCAAACCGCAAGTGACGCCAATCCAGCTGCAGACAGAGCTCGAATTCGTCCAACTTTTGGCAAGTGTGCTTTCAGGATCCGAAGTGATATGAGATTTCAGGGCAAGAAGAGCTGATTTATCGGTTTCGAGGGTAGTTGAATAATTTATGGCTAGGCAATAATAAGACATTTGGAATAAGACTATACATGCAAGAATGCAACAACAAGTTTTCCCCATCATTATATTACTTGCTGGAATATTATTTTGGTGAACTCACATAACTATGAATGAAGACAAGAGTAGGAGACTTCAGTTTTAAAGTCTTTTATCACTTAAAAATCGGACAAATAGTGTGTAAAGAACAATTAATTTTCATAGACTTTATCAGTCAATACTACTGAAGGCACCTCTAAAGTCTAATATGTGTGCTAAGAAGACCAAAACCAAGTGAAAAGGGGGACTAATTCAAACTGAAAATCAATTCTAATATCTCTTTATTTTTTTCGCAATTAAACGTATATGCTAATGTCGAACAATGTACAACAAACTAAAGCACAATGTACAGTTGGGTGAATCATTGACCGACGAAGACCATGTCTCAGGCAGATTTATGTACACACAGTAACCAAACTCATATCTTCAGCTCACTGCATTCCACAATAGTTTAAAACTCCAATTAAGACATGGATTAATAAATTAAACATGATTTTTTTTACTAGGTCAAGAAAGATACAAAATAAAAAAAACACTAGGTTTAAAACATGTACCTCAGTAGAAGATTGGACAGAGATTGAATTAATGCTTTTGGATCGAAAAATACGCCAGCTTTTGAATCGTGTATTGACTCCACCGTTACCTACATCAGATTAATTAATTAATTGAAGCATAGAAATTTTGATTCTTCATAACTGGGAATTCCATTTATATTGGGCTTCAAAATCGTCAACCTCGTATATGTATAATTTATATTAAAAAAAAAATAGAATATATATATATATACCACGTGAAAAATCCCTTGATCCGCCAAGCAATTAGTATCTATTGGAATCTGACCATCTTTGGGCACGAAGATCGTGTTGATGTATTGACTTGGCTGCATAATGATATGAAAGTATTATTATTACACTCAAAAGTGTTGTTACATTTACGAAAATGTATTTATTATATAACTCTTACTACTAAAAAATGTGTGTAATAAACCTCCTATTAGATGCAACATAAATATACTTACAGGATTCTGTAGGCACTTGTGAGGATTGCCTGAAGTTCGGTTCAACGCATCCGTAATAGCTGTGACAAAACAAGAAGCCGTAAAGCCACTTGTTTCTCTATCGCGTGTACCGTTCAACAGAAGTACCTGATAGAACAAACCATTAAAACTGCACATGATATGAGCATAAATAGTTGATGGTAATTAATTTGATGTTATTTTTTTAAGAAAAAATCCATTACTATTTTTTTTGTCAAATTCATGCTAGTTGTATTAATCGACCGCTTTTTATCCTTGTAATTTAGTAAACAAATTATCATAATTATTAGAAGAATGGCGACTTAAGAATGTGATTATATCGAGCTAAATTATTTATACAAGCAAAAATTAGTTTAAAAAAACAAAAAAAAAGACCATTTTCCTCATTATCACAGATTGATTTTAATTTAGATAACTTGTGTTAATAGAAATTACCTTGGGGCATGATCTTGACGAAATAATTTCGCCAATTCCAAGTAAAACCTGAAACGAAGCACGAGCAGTACTGAAATTCACTAAGTGTTAATTGTAAATATATCAATAAAAAAAAATTAAATAAATAATAATAAAAAGAAAAACATTTTTTTGTTTGGTTCAGAATGTTACCAGAGATGGGCATATGGAAGTAAATAGTGAACCCATGGCAAAGATAATGCAGTCCACGCTCTTCAACTGCTCCAAGACAGCTGGATTTACAGATGGAAATACCTGCTCGTGAATAACATATGTAAAATTAACTCGTGTAATTACTAATAATATAATTTTCAGCTCTCCACTATTTATTAAAACAACTTCAAGAAGCATCATAATAATAAATTACCTCATGTAATAAATTGCTGCCTTCACTTGATATGTAAAATACTCGCTTTATTTTCGAAGGAAGAGTCGGAACTAAGGAGTTACTCTGCAATTCAAACTTTCTTCAGTCATACGATGAGAGAGAGAGAGAGAGAGAGAGAGAGAGAGAGAGAGAGAGAGAGAGAGAGAGAGAGAGAGAGAGAGAGAGAGAGAGAGAGAGACTGTACCTTATTTACGGGCTCCATATATCCATTGGTGGGATGAGATATTTCATTTTGACCTCGTATTATAGTTCCATCCTAGAAGTCACACTCTATAGTTAAACGTTTTGACATAAATAATACAGTCAAATTCATTCGAGAACAGAGATGTTCGTACCCATAATTCACAGCCCAAGGTGAGCCTATCGTTTGTGGATATGACTGGGAGGACCAGGCTTTCATGGGGAATTTCCGATACACGTGAAAACAAAAAAATCGCAGCATCTAAAGACTGAAAGAATATTCTCGCTCCAGCAAAGAAAAAATTCCCTATACTGCAAACATTATTATATAGGAACTAATTAATACCCGATGATCGATTGACAATATCTAACTTAAAAAACGGACTAAAGTAAACTAGCAAAAAAGAGTAATGCTAAACATGGTCAATGTATCGGGAATCGACAAAATACATAGTGAAGTGAAAATATCAGAAAACGTTGAATACCTTCCATTGCTGAAGCAAAATGATTCGTCGGACCTCCTTAGGATCTGCAATATATAGTTTTATTTTCCGTAAAAAATGACGAGATAGTACTACTAAAATCCATCTTTTAAGCCAACCTGATCCTGGAAATAAGCCAAGAAAGATCGGATAGTTTCCCTGTACGGTTTTGAGACACCTGTCCACAGAGAGTGCTTCCCTTCAACAATATCATACCTGTTCAATCTTCAAAATTAGACACCTGTCCATTTAGTCGATAAAAGACGGAAATACCCTTCGGGCAAGAAGCAAGATTGCTCTTACTATACACTACCATTCGAATTTTGCATTTTGTGCCTCGAGAGGTAACCGATGGCCTAGCAGTTTCCGCACCGCGAGAGCCTCGGACGTACTTTCATCAGACAGTCTCAAACATCTTGATCGAATGTCACCGACAGCTGGCCCACCTGCAAATATGTCAACAAATAAATAAACATATAACAGGAATTTGAAACTACAAGTGTCGGAAAATAAATGTTATAAAAAAAAAGTTGTAAAACTTACCAAGAACACGAACAATTTCAGCTGTGCTTCCTCCGTCATCAGAAACGGGAAGAACGTGGGCCACACGGGTTGTTAACTTTTTGAGCTCTTCAACGACACCATTAAAGGCAGTTCCACCTGCACCACTGCAAAGTTCTTAGATACTTACAAAGAAAAGATGACATGTTTCCATTTCATGTTAACATTCCGTATAATTGGTTATCAGACTTTCCACATACGCCAAGTGCCCCGTAATTCAAAGATGCAAGAAACGATCCACTAAAAACAGCGGTAGAAATAGGGTGAACCGTAATTCAAAATACGACAGCAGTTAAATTTGATCAAATCTATCAAACTCAATACGTCGTCTTAATAGCAGCGACGTATATAATAAGTAATTGATAATTGCGATTGAACACGTGTTAGGTGAAGCTACGAAGAGGTCAACACGTATACAACCATCACAAAACTCACTCAGTACACAAACCGAACCGAAACACTCATGACACACAGATGTTGAAGTGCCTCACACAAGCAAAATGATTCATATTCGGTATAATCAACATTAAACGCGATGAAATAGTATTAGTAGTTTCTTTAAATCTTTATGAACGGTGCAAATCAAGACACTAGGAAGAGAGAATCAACAATTTAAAGAAAATGAAAGAAACTACTCAAAATTAACTACCCCGCATTGTCAAAATCCAATTACCCTATTTCCCAATTTATTGCACCCCAAAACCCAATTCCCCTCTATTTCCTATTTAAAAAAACAATAAATAAATAAAAAATCGGAAATCATACCGGAAAAAACAAGCAGAGATGGCTGGGGCTGAGGGGAAATGGAATTGGTGGTGGCGGAAGCAGAAGAAGAGTGACAGCGATGAGCATTGTTAGTTTTGAAGGTGGTTGTCGCCATGGAAGAAGAGAGAGAAAAAGTGGGATGATGAGAGAGAAAGAAGGGAAATGGAATTAGGGCATTTATAATTGATGAATGAGAATCTGAGGAGGGAAAGGAAAGCGCGGGACCCAAACAAGTATCCGCCATATTCCCGGAAATTCCTTAAACAATCAAAATCGACAGATAAGAAACTCTGATTGATGATAGTGGAGACGACACCTTTCTGAACTCTCCTTCGCTTTTTTTTTTTTTTTTCTAGATATTAAATTAATATATTTTTAATTGCATTTGCATATTAAAAAATAAAAAATAAAAAATTCTGATAAAACAAAATTATATGCATCAGCCGGGAATCGAACCCGGGTCTGTACCGTGGCAGGGTACTATTCTACCACTAGACCACTGATGCTGATTGTTCATCCTCAATTACATATTTACTTTAATTCTACCCATAAAAACCAATGGAAATATAAATTTTTCCAATTATTTCAGTATATTCATTTGATTCAATTTACATAAAATTGTCCACACACACACACTATAAATACCAAGAAATCGAATTATTCTTTCTTTGATTTTTTCCCAGAAAATTCGATCCGACGAAAACTCCATGCTACCTTCAACACAAATCGAAAATTTGAGAAACTATCACAAAGAATCAACACACGAAACCCTCTGCCTTTTACGAGGAAAAAACAATTCCTGATCATACTCGGCCGATGCAGACAACTTATCAAGAACGTTACTCAGAGCCGAACGAACCGCATTCTCGTTCGTCTCTTCTTCTGTAGTAACCAAGAATACGGTCTTAACTCTGCCTCCCAATGTAGATATCTCACTCTCCAAAATCCGTGCACGAAGAATGCTGAGAGCTTGTCTCACTTCAGACAATAGATCGGGCCTGTATTCGCAGCAAAGTGAAACCCTCAACAAGAAAGAACCATTAATGGCATTATTGTTATTATCGAGTACTTCGACTTGTACTTCATCAGTATCCATTGGGATATGCAGACCTTCACTCGCTTGCTTTGCAGTCGTCTTCAATTGCTTTACTTGGCTGATTACTTCGGCTAGTAACGCTGCTTTGTCCATCTGTCGAAAAATGAAAATCGAAAAAGAAAAATAATAATTGAGCTCACTATAATGTTCTTTTGTGTTAAAAAAATTAAAAATAAAAATAAAAAAACGAGAAAAGGTCAAAGTAGTGGCAAATGGCAATAATAATACGAACGAGAAAAGGTCAAAGTAGACGAAGTCAAAGACGGACGAGCATCAAACTCCAACTCATGCAGTCTTTAATTAGTGAAGTAAATTAACTTATGTAATTTGTTTAATATTTTCAGCTTTTCAAACATAACTCGGGCGGCTTATTCGATCAAAGTCAACTTCTGCAACCGATGTTACAACATGATTGCAACTTAATCTTTCTTATTAGTCTTATTAAAGTATTCGTAAACGTCTCTTTCGTTTTTTAATATATTCGTATATGCGATGAAACTAGCTATTTTATTAACGGAAAATAACTCGAGGGGTAAGGTGGCAATACAGTCCCATCCAATCGTGCAATTACATAAGCACAAAACTTTCACATTCGAAAACGAAATTAATATCGAAAAATCCCACGGAAAAGATATAGGGACTAACTATCGTATATTTTAGTCAACGCCGCCACTTCTTCGAAAATTCGATACCATAGAGAGTTGACATTTTGAAACTAGAATATCCTTTCCCTTCGCTATAATTTCAATCGTATAACGTTTCGAAAAACAAAAGCACGACCACATATACACTTGATCCACGAAAAATAATCTTGTCCGATTAAATTACATTTTCACGAAAAAGGAGTGTAATAACAATAAATTTGGAAATGAAAAATCTTGATTTTTACATTTACTGACCTTTTCGCTGTCCGGTACAAGTCCACGTAGGCTCGTGAAATGCGCGTTGATTTTCTCTCTCCTTCGCCTCTCCGCCTCACTATGGCTCTTCAAAGCGGCCATCGTCTTCGTTTCCAAACCCTCGATTTTCTTCCCTAATTTCACCGATGATTTAACTAACTCCCCCTTTTCACCGTCCAATACCAACGATTGTCTAAACGGCGTTTCTCCGCTCACCCGATTCTCCGTAAACCCAATCGGATAACGGGACAATTGGTTCATTAATTCCCCCCAATTCGACTCACAATACATATTTTCAGGCTCTCAAATACAATTAAACAGTAATTTGGCCACTAAATTGAAATTTCAAATATTGGATAACTAAAAAAGCTCAATTAAATAAAAAATAAAAATTAGGGATCCAGACCAGGAGGCTGTGTGGCGAGGGCGAACCAGAAAGAAAGCAATTTCGACATGATCGTAAGAGTGGCGGCGGAAGGGATGACGTCAGTTAATGATCGGACGGTCATTATTTTTCTCGGAGTGTAAGAAGGAACGGAGATGGGATTTTGCCGATGGGTTATTTATCGGAAGAGACTAAATTACACTCTTTTTCTGCTTGACGGTTTTGAATTCCTGCATTAGAAAATCCTTTTTTTTTTTTTTTGGATAAAAATCTAATCTTTATATGAATATCTTGTTTGGAGAATTCGATGAAATTAAGAACAATGAAGAGGAGAGAGATTCTCTGTAAATTGGACGAAGCAAAGTGATGTACTTGTTCACTATCATCCCCGCGTCATTTAAATAGAAAATAAATTTTGCTTTCTTATTTATGAATAATAAATAAATAAATTGACTCAACTGGTCGGCAAGTGACGTAAGCATTTTTTATATTTATTAAGGTAAATTACGGCAAAACCCCGATGTAAGGTCAATTTATGACAAAACTCATCATTTTTTGGTAATTACAATCAGACCCCTCAACTATGAATCTTCTTACACGTCCATTCTTACGGTGTCAATTTAGTGAAATATGTTAGATTATGTTGAATATTCTTCATGTTGTACATGTTTATCCCATTCGAGCTCTATATTTTGAAACAAGGTGATTATACGATGTGTCTCTTGATTAGTAAATATCAGATCGTGGTGCATTAGAAACTGCATTTTTACACAAAATGAGTACAAATTAAAGAATATTCTTCAGAATCTAGAAGATTCAGAATCTAGAAGATTCTGTTACATTTGAGACCATAAGAATGGACGTGTAAAAAGGGGGTTGGTTGTAATTACCCAAACATGAGGGGTTTTCTCGTGCTTTAACATTACCTCGGGGGTTGGCTGCAATTTACCGTATTTATTAAGAAAGAAAAAATGTGTAGTGTTTTCCACCATCTAACCAATTTTTTTAATGGCACGCACGCATTTTTTTTTTATTATTTATGTATGCTTTTTTTTTTTTATGTATGCTTATTATATGTGGCTGCAAAGATCTGACTTTTTATATGTGTGAATCATGAAAGTTGCTCTTTAAATTAATAGAATTGTGAACTAATTGAGTAAAATTAGCTGACTTTTGAAATTACAATTTTATTTTTATTTTTTTTGTTAAAGGCATAAACCAGGCCTAAAATAGATTAAAATAGAGCCTAATGAAGAAGATTAACCTCTTAATTCCTATAATTACAGAATGGTTCTATATGTAAAAGAGAGTTCGAATAGTGCACATTTTTTATTAACTACTTTATTTAAAAAAAAAAATCAAATATATATATAACTAATAAATATAAATTCAAGACTTGCTTCCAATAATTAAATGGATGACTTAACTCTGGTAGGTAGAGAGGTGCCTTTCTCATCAACCCTTCAAATTTTGAATAGATTCCATCTTATTTAAATGCACTAGTTAGGTGGTGTTTGCAAATGATTATTTAAAAGCAAAAGTTAGTGATTGTGATTTAAGTTAGTTTTAAGTGTTTATTTCTAAAAGTTGGGGGTGTTTGCAAATATTTCGGAAAATGAACTAAAATTGAAAAAGCAGGGTTATGGATGCTTTTAAAAAAATAGCTTATAGCAGATTATTTGAAGACAAGCAAAAGCAAAAGTTGATTTTGCAAACACCTAAAAACAGATTATGAGCAAAAAAAACCGCATAATCACTTTCAAAAAGCATTTGCAAACACCACCTTAGTATACAACTGTTTAAGTACATTGCACCTGATTCATACAAATCTCTTTTGATTTATTATATTATATTATGTAATTATTTGTTGATTGAAATTGACATTGGAGCCAATATCTTCAAATTTAAAAAGTATTTAATAAATTAACTAATAATATTTATAAGATTCCAAATTAATTATTGATGAATAACCAACATAGAAGTCCAACTATTTCATTTACAAACATTAAACCAATCAAATCTATTATATTAGCCATTGTTGCTTTCAGAGATGGCGACAGAGCGTTCGGGGCAATTTTTATTTATTTAATTTTTTGTATTTTGTTAATATTTTTTTTTAAATTATTAGGACAAGAAAACATGATAAAAAAAATTAAAATTGGATAATCAGCGTACACGAAACTTGTGAATTTCACTCTCATCTTTAACTTGCCGGATTTTCCAGGCACACTTTCTCCATCAAATTGTAACTGGTAACTGATGTATATATATACCTCATGTTTAAGCTAATATTTCACATCAACAAATATTCATTACATTTACCACATTATTATACATACTGTAATAACTCACACTTAAATCTAAGCAAGAATGGCTTTGATGACATCATCCTCGAAGTTAATCATGTCAGCAATATTTATAGTGCTGGCAATGTGGGCTTGTGATCGAGCAACAGCTCGTACAACGCCCGATGCATCGATGGTCAAGATGCATGAGAAATGGATGGTGCAAAATGGACGTGTCTACAAAAACGATGCAGAAAAGGCCTTTCGATATAAAATATTCAAGGCAAATGTCGAGTATATTCAGTCGTCTAACAATGCAGAAACTCGGCCCTACAAACTTGCCGTGAACAAATTTGCTGATTTGACAAACGAAGAATTTCAAGCGTCTCGAAATGGATATAAAATGGGGTCTCGATCGAAGTCGCCATCATCAAAAGTTTCGTCGTTTAGGTATGGAAATGTTACAGTTCCAACTAGCATTGACTGGACTAAGAAGGGAGCCGTTACTCCCGTTAAGGATCAGGGTCAATGTGGTAAGTCAAACGAAAAATATTTCTTGAAAAAATTGTATAATTTCAAGAAAATGATTTTTCGTAAATAAAAAAAAATGCAGGATGTTGCTGGGCATTTTCGGCAGTAGCAGCCACGGAAGGAATCAATCAACTTACAACGGGGAATCTAATCTCGTTATCCGAACAAGAACTAGTGGATTGTGACACGAGCGAAGATCAGGGGTGTAACGGTGGTCTAATGGACAATGCATTCGAGTTCATTATCAGTAACAATGGACTCACTACCGAGTCCAACTACCCGTACGAAGGAGTAGACGGCACATGCAACTCCAAGAAGGAATCTTCACACGTGGCGAAGATTACCGGGTACGAGGATGTTCCGGCCAATAGCGAGTCGGCATTGCTCAAAGCTGTGGCTAAGCAACCTATATCCGTAGCAATCGACGCTAGTGGGTCCGATTTTCAGTTCTACTCGGGTGGAGTTTTTACGGGACAGTGTGGAACTGAACTTGACCATGGTGTAACCGCGGTTGGGTATGGAGTAACTAGTGACGGAACAAAGTACTGGTTGGTTAAGAACTCGTGGGGAAGTAGTTGGGGTGAAAACGGATATATTCGAATGCAACGGGATATCGACGCTGAAGAAGGTCTATGTGGCATTGCCATGCAGGCTTCTTATCCAACTGCTTAAAATTATCCGAAACTTAAGACGAACGTACCATGTGTATATGTATGTATGTAAATTAATTTCCTATTTCAAGAACTACTTGTAAAGAAATGCAGAAATATATATACTAAGATTTAATCAAGAAACGTGATTTCTTCTACAAAATACGATCTCCAAAATACTTCGAAACAAAAAAAAAAAAATAACAACACATTTCAATCCATAATGAATTTGCTCGAAATTACCTTTTAAGTCAAAATCAACACACGCACTCAAGGTGAAGCCCGTTTGCCGCTGATAGGGTTGGTTTTGGTGCACAGAATCCATCTTCCTTTGGCCCGTCTACGCTGAATAACAGCGCGGCCTCTCGTCGTACTCATACGCTTTCGGAAGCCGTGGGTCCTAGCGAGTGACTTCCTCGATCGATTCCTCTTTGTTTGACAAAGTGCGTATTTTTTCGCCCTTATTACTAAGCCGCGCCTTTTATTGGCTACCTTGCCAATGCTAGCTGTCAAATCCAAGCCCAACGATGATCCTGCAACGTATATAAGAAACATTTAAAATCAAGATGATGAAGTCAAAGAATCACCGAGAAAATGCAAAAACGAGAAAACAACGAATGGAAGTTGAAAAATTGAATCGAAAATCAACATATTACGAAAAAACCAAGAATGCAACATAGTCCTAATTCTTCCCGATTTACCTTCATTTTATAACTAAAAGGATCGAACAAATATTTCACGACACCGTCAAATATGAGAAATTTAAACACTATACGCCGTTAAAATGAAGTCCAAGAAACACTAACAAGGCAAAGAACCGCAACTTTGAATTGAAACGAAAAAACTATACGACCATTATTCCAAATTATTTGTCCGTTTCGAGCTAGTGCACGTGTATTACGGAAACTTAGAAATATAAAATAAAAATAAACCTTAAAAAATATAAACCTAAGAAATTGGCTTTTGTGTATATATATTTTTGGGTGTAGGGTTTTTTGCTTTATTTTTTTAGGGTAGTTTAGTCGTTTCCTTATAGATGAATTTTACGGGAAAAAAAAAAAAAAAAAAAAAAACCTTAAAATATTCTTTTGATTAATTGTTTCACTATTAATTCTATTTCTCAAAGCTGATTAAGAGTAGTACTGGCAAAATTGAGAGAAGTACAATTCATTGGAGCTGTAAATTGAAAATAATTACAACGAAGCAAATAATTCTTCATACATTGCTAAATTTGAACAGAAAATCCACAAATAAACATCCCCAATTCAGTTAAATTAAAGGATCAAATTAACCACTCAAAAATTGAAAGAAACAAATTATGAGAAATTGAAGAGTTAAACACCTGCGAATGAAGCGCCGGAGGAGAAAGAAAGAGCGGAAGGGGTAAAGGCACAGTGGAGAAGCATCCCCGGAGAAGCTGCGGCGGCGTTGGTTTTGACGTTGAACGAAACGGCGGTCCTTGTCTGAGAACCTGTGCGGAGGGAAAGTGAAGCTGAAGGGGCATTATAGTAATTTCCTCTGTAACCCACCATTGCTCCCATTGATAAGCAGCTCGCCATTTTCTCTCTGTTCGTTCTCTCTCTCTCTTGTTATCCTTCCACTCTCGTCTGAAGTGAATTTCGCAACCTTATCTCTGAGAATTTTGTAAAAGTGATATTAATAAATAAATAATAATAATAATAATAATAATAATAATAATAATAATAATAATAATAATAATAATAATAAATAAATAAATAATAATAATAATGATAAATAATAATGTTGGGCTGATTTACTAAGGATGAATTTGGGCTTTTTTCTAGGGCCCAATTTTTTAGTGGGCTGCTCTTTTAAATGTGCTTTCTACAATATAGGCCTTAAATGCATTTTGATATATAATGGAAATCGGAATTGTTACATGTCGTTTCAGATTTTGCTAATAACATTTTAACTTTGAACGTGATTTTGACTATTTTCTTATCTGATTTTGGCAAGTTCGAAATACGAAATTTAAGTCCTTCGAGTTAGCTTTCTAATCCAACTTGAATCAGTTAGATTGGAAGTCCGGTGAAATATTTACACATGAATCAGTAACATTGGCAGTGTATATTGATTCATGTATATCTTTCACACCCGACATTCAATCGTAGCGATTCAAGTTGGATTAGAAAACTAACTCAAAAAACGACAAATTTCGTGGTCAAAGCCTTACCAAATTCATAATCGAAAATGATCAAAATCATGTTTGAAACAACATTTATCACATCCCTAATGAAAAATAAGAATTCAAATTTGAACAATTATATTCCATAATCCATCATTATATATGGTATGCTAAAAGTGCATCATGAATAAAATCAGATAAAAAATGGTGAAAATATCAATAAAAAAATCTCCATTTATGTCAACTTACTATATATTAATCCCATTTTCTCGTGTATAAAAATATATTTCCAATTCTTCAATCTCCATTCTAAAATAATTTTCCAAGATGGGATTTAAGCAGCAAACTCTGTTAAGCATTTTTCTATTATTCACTGTGTCAGCAAATTCAGATTTAATTGAAGAAAAAAATGTTGAAGATGGGGACTTAATAGCAAATAAATGCAATTTATTTCAGGGTCAATGGGTTTATAATTCATCGTCAAACCCTTTATATGATTCTTCAAGCTGCCCATATATTGATACTTATGATTGCCAGAAATTTGGCCGTACAGACAAACAGTACCTCAAGTACACGTGGAAACCTATGTCTTGTAATTTACCAAGGTATAACATTTTTATTTAATTTTAATAGTATTATTTTGTCACAATTTCTATTTATTTAATTTTTTTTTTTTTTTTTTTTTTAGATTTGATGGTGTTGATTTATTGAGGAGATGGAAAGGAAAGAATATAATGTATGTGGGAGATTCAATAAGTTTAGATCAATGGTCTTCAATTGCTTGTATGTTACATGCTTCGGTTCCAAATGCTAAGACAACCTATGTGAGGGAATACCCAATTTCTTACATCAAATTCGAGGTAATTAATTTAGTTTTTTACGTATTCTAACATGGTACCAGAGCTATAGTATTGGTTTTTTTGTATTGGTTTTTTTAGTGCTTGTTCACATTTCGATCGGTTCTATCGAGACGAAAAACGCTTTAAATTAACGTTTAATTTTCTTTTACCTGTCAGTGTAATCTTGTTTGTGGTGTTTCTTGTTATTCTTTCGCAAAGGAAAACACTAGAAATTATTGCTCCTGTTTTTCTTTACAGTTTTATTTTCAGTGTTTCTCCGTCTTTCGTTCGGTTCCATCAAGACAAAAAATACCATAAATTGTGTGTGTGTGTGTGTGTGTTTTTCATTAATTTAAGGATGAAAAAATTATTTACTAAAAGAAATAGATGATTTTAATTTAATTTGCAGGAATATGGAGTGACAATATATTTTTATCAAAGCCATTACTTTGTAGACATAGACAAAGAAGCAAGAGGCAGGGTACTAAAATTAGACCACATTGGGGAACAAGGAAATGCATGGAAAGGGATGGACTTTCTCATTTTCAACACGTGGCACTGGTGGACTTTCACCGGAAATGTTCAAGAGTAATATATTCTATATATATATAAATATTTCATTAATCCCACTCTAATTGTACTTAACACTAATTAATTTTTAATTCATAATGCAGATGGGACTATGTTCAATATGGTTCCCGCGTAGTCAAAGATATGGACCGTCTAGTGGCGTTTGACCATGGTTTGACCACTTGGGCTAGATGGGTTGACCAAAATATTGACCCTTCTAAGACCAAAGTCTTCTTTCAAGGGATTTCTCCGGATCACTATGTGTAAGTGCACACTTTTTCTCCTCTAGTCCAATGCCGCAATTAGAACCACGTGCACCGATATGGTTGGCTGCTGATGCTAAAAAAAAATTAATAATGAAATATATGGTGTGAAAACAGGGGTCAAGAATGGGGATCGAAATCGAACTGCGCCGGTGAACAACAGCCAATCAATGGCTCGAGGTATCCAACAGGGAGGCCAAAAGCAGCCAGAATAGTGGATATTGTGCTCGGTAGTATGAAGAAACCGGTTTCTCTGCTCGATATAACAATTCTTTCGCAGCTAAGAAAAGACGCTCACCCGTCGAGCTATACTAAAGACCATGTCAGCACGGATTGCACACATTGGTGCCTACCGGGATTGCCCGATACTTGGAACGAGCTCTTGTATGCAGCACTTGTTTGAGGATTCAAGATTTCATTTTTATTTCATAGAGAAAAATAAATTAATAAATAAATAATACTTAAGTAATTGTCTTGAGCAAATGTTCTATGTATACTTCAATAGCTTTAGAAAAAAAAATGATTACAATGAAGTGATATGAAAGGAATAAAGAAGAAATGATCTTTTTGTTTTCATTTGTTTGTATTTTTTTTTTCTATTTCAGTAATTTTCAATTAAGAATCTTGTTTGTCCGGGCAGTGACGGAGCTAGTATAGGGTTAAGGGGGGCATGGTCCCCCTCCATTCGCCAATTCATATTATTTTATATAGAGATATAAAATATTTTCGTGTACAATAGCTGATGAGATTAAATTAGCCACATACAATAATATAGGTTTTCCCTTTATTTTATTCGATAGATTATTAGATCTTGTCACAGGTTTGAATGTCCAACCTTGTATATTTGAAAGACTACTAAATAATGTAGATAAGATAATGTATATGGAGGGTCCAGTGTATTGAATTCTTTCTTTCAAAAACAATTCCCCCTTTCTCTACACATGAACTAGTATATATACTACTACATCATGGGCCCTAATTGAGTTTGTTTACATTTCCTAGGCACAAAGCCGTCATCCTGTATGTTTTGCCACGTGTCTAGTTCTTATTGGTCATTTTCACTGTCCCTTAGTCAGTTCAAGCCTGTCACCCATCATTTTCCTCCCAGAATTGTCCCTTGCACGCCTCTCGAAGTGCCGACGTAACGCTCATTCCGTGAGACGTGGAATCACTTCGTCAGTCTATCTCGTAAGATTTATACTTCGTTAATTACCCCCTGCGATTCATTATGGTATTATGGTATTTGGCTTTCTTCAGTTTGGCTTGGACCTTCCCTCTGGGACCAAATCAGTTCTGATCATCTGAGTTTCCTTTAATTGGGTTTGGGCCTTTCTTGTAGGCCCAAATCAGTCCGGATCAATAGCATTAACAGCCCCCTTTAAAAAAAATGCATCCGGCCCCCCGGACTTGGAATCCTGGCTAGGGCATGAGTTGTAATTGTTAATGTGTCATTTATAATGTTAGTTTATTTATTAAAAAAAAAATCAGATATTGTGCTCTTTGAATATCACAAATTCAAGTAAGTACAAAATAAAGATGAAGGAATGAAATATAATTCCAATATTCAAAAGGGTCAAATACACAATAAATTGTATAACATAAATAGAATAAGAAAATAAACAGGATCAAGAAATCCAACAGCAGATTTTGTACCCTGATTTTAAATTTGAACAACAACTCAATTAAATTCTACTAGATATACCAATTACATCATTGAAAATGAAAATCAGGTCAAAATTACTAAAAACTCAGCATATATATACATATATATGTATATATACACACACACACACACATATAACTCCATAGCCAAAGAGCCAATCTACAACTTTCTCTGCATAATGGGGTTCAAAATCCAGGCCTTGTTAAACATTTTTGTAGTCTTTATTGTTTATGCAAAATCAGAATTACTTCAAAACATTAGTTATTTTAACGGGGAGTTAGCGAACGGATGCAACTTGTTTCGTGGAGAATGGGTGTACAATCCTTCTACGAACCCTTTATACGACTCGAGTTGCCCGTTTATTGATTCCGAATTCGACTGCCTAAAGTTTGGCCGTCCGGACAAACAATACCTCAAGTACTCGTGGAAACCCGATTCTTGCAACTTGCCGAGGTTTGATAAATTCAACTTTGGATTAAATTTTGTCTAGTGATTAATCCATGCAAAGGTGGTCAAGATATATTTTTTTTTGTTTTTTTTTTTTATGTAGATTTGATGGTGTTGACTTTTTGAGGAGATGGAAGGGGAAGAAAATAATGTTTGTGGGTGACTCACTGAGTTTGAATCAGTGGAACTCGTTGGTTTGCATGCTACATGCTGCAGATCCAAAGGGGAGGTATTCCTTTGTTAGGAAAAGCCCTGTTTCTTATGTTACATTCCAGGTCAGCTTACTATTACAAATTTGTTTTCCATTTTCAAAAAAAAAAAAAAAAAAAAACAGAAATCCGAAACTTTTGTTCGTATTATAAATTTAATTTTTCGTAACATCGTAAAAGAAAACTCAATTACTATTATGCAGGATTATGGAGTGACGATCTTTCTCTACACAAGCCACTACTTAGTCGACGTAGTTCGAGAACCGAAAGGCCGAGTCCTCAAACTAGACTCCATCGAACAAGGCAATGCTTGGAGAGGGATGGACATGTTGATTTTCAACACGTGGCATTGGTGGTCCCACACCGGAGCTAAAGCTCAAGGGTACGATTTATCGAACTATATTTTACCATACACGTATAAATTTATAAATATTTTACACACATCCAAATGTATGTGTGTCATTGTGCGCAAATCAAATAAACATAAAATATTAGATATATTTCATGAGGGAAAAATAATTTTTTGGTCCCTCAAGTTTATCTCGATTTCACATTCGGTCCCTATTTTTAACCAAAAAAAAAAAAACAGATTTAGTCCTCGTGATTTAACAATATAACACCATTTCCGTCAATTTACCATTAGTTCATAGGTTAAGAAGGTGACGGGACTAATGAAAAATTGACGGGAAGGACCAAAAATGTTAAAAATTTTGAAACACGAGGGACTGAATCTGTATATTTTTGTGAACAGTGAGGAGGCCAAATGTGAAACCTATGTAAACTCGAACGACGAAAAAGTATATTTTTCCTTTCATGGTGTTAATCATCCACAATCGACTCTATTACTTAAAATCACATTTTTGTATTGCAGTTGGGACTATGTGCAATACGGTTCGACAATAGCCAAAGACATGAACCGAATCGAGGCGTTTTTGAAAGCCTTAACCACTTGGGGTGGTTGGGTTAACCAAAATGTAAACCCTTCCAAAACCAAAGTCTTCTTCCAAGGGATCTCTCCTACTCACTACCAGTAAGTATATACATTCACATATATTATTTTGGGTAAATTACAACCACCCCTGAGGTATGGTCAAATTACGAAAACCCCCCTCTTATTTGGGTAATTACAATCACCCCTCAACTATAAATCTTCTTACACGTCCACCCTTGCGATTTTAAATTTTGTGAATCTTCTAGATTATATGTAATTTGACCATATTAATTATATTTTTTTTAAACGTAAAAAAATAGGGGTGAAGAATGGGGGTCAAAAAACAACTGCATGGGTGAACAACAGCCAATCAATGGAGGCAGATATCCACAACATAGACCAATAGCAGCAGATGTTGTAAGCAAAGTTTTGTTTGGTTTAAGGAAACCAGTTTATCTACTTGATATTACATCTCTCTCTCAGCTAAGGAAAGATGCTCACCCAACTAAGTATAGTCCAGACCACAGTGGATTGGATTGCAGCCATTGGTGTATTCCTGGCTTGCCTGACACGTGGAACCAGCTTCTGTATGCTGCTCTTATTTGATTAATGAATTTAATTAATTAATAAATCAATAAATATTGAATGTTCACAAATCTTTATATTCTTTACAAAAAAAAGTTGTAGTAGTAGTAGCCTATATATATAGATATAGATAGATATATCTGAAGCTGAGTTTGCTACAGAATAATTAATTAGCAAGAGGGTTTTTGCAGACGAATTTCGATTGGTTTTGGCAGCACGATTGAGCTTTATCTCGAAGTTCTTGAAATGCTCTCATCGTCTCAACATCGAATCCGCCAGCAAACTGTACAAAAATCGAATATAAGTTAATTGTTCACGGGACAAGAAAAAGGCAGAAAAAAATATTTATTTATTGACCTGGTGAACTCGAAAGGCGAACTTGACGCCTTGAAGAATAAGGTCTTCTTCTTCAGGACCACCGCCACCGACGATTCCAAGCTCAGCCGATACTCTCTTCATGTACTTCATGGCCAATTTAACCGATGCCAGCTTGATCTACGTACACAAAAATTTGCAATTTTTTAAATGTGGTCCAATTAATTATTACTAAAAAAAACACGTCCTTTTGTTATTTCACTATCGTATTCACAGCTAATTGTACAGCTGTCACGGAATAAAACTTGCTAAACGAAAAGTGCACTCATGGTTCGATGTACTCTAAAAGTTTCGGGAATTCAGACAGTTTTTACTGCATCAAGGTATGCATTTCCCTTCGTTTCTTTTACTTGTTCGACTAACAACATCGTGTATCGTATTATAGGATATAACAAATGGAAATGAAACTTTAGTGTCATATACTAGACAAGACAAAATTGTAGGTGTGGGCAATATAAAATGAGGCCCTTTGTCATCTAGCCAAAAATTTATTAAGTGTGCCCACTTGAAAAATCGTGCCCATGCACAATTACCGTTACTTAATTGGTTCCCCGTTCGAGTTTTAATTTTATATAAATCACTTGTGAGGGACAAGAAAAACGAGCATCTATGTATATAATATCCAACCTGAAAATTATTTTTTTAGTCGAGCATCTAATTATGTTTTTCGGACGAGACCTAATCTCGAACGAAATTATAAACAGAGGAAATTGAATTTACCTGACTCACGAAACCAGTATCCATCATCCAATTCATCGGAATTTGATACAGTTTATATCGCTTCGATGCCGATTCTCTCAATCTCGAAAGATTATAAACACCGTGCTCCAATCTATTCCAATTGCAAGAATGTTAGTAAGATTATCTACATTAAAAAAAAACTAAATAAATGGACTAATTAATTTCGGGGAAAAAAAATAAAAAATCGTACTTTTCAAACAAAGACTGCATTTTCTTTAGAGCGGGGCCGCTGTGCTGTCTCGGATCATCGCGAAACGAAGAAGCTTCGGATTCAAGCTTCTTTAAATCAGAGTAGCCGAATGCAGCTTCTCTTAATGCATCTGCTTTCTGTTCCGGCCAATCGAAATGCTTCAACACTGCCCTTTCATCAACCTGTATAATTACAGAAAAATCATGATCACTGTAAGCAACAAGACATAGATTTATGTACTAAATACAGATGCTTGTCTGAATTTAAAAATAATTAATTGTACCAGGTAGGAAAGCTCATCGTCGAGCCATTTAACGAAGGGAACAACATCTTCAATGTCGGTAAAAGCAGCGCCTTCGACTTCTTTAATTAAGAATCTGATGAAATCACCTTGTGTTTCTACATCTGTCTTAATCTGCAATTAATTCAATGATTATAGTTACTATCAGATACTAATAATTTCGGAATTGAATAGAAGATCTTAAATTGATTGTAGTTAATTTTGCAACTTTTTATGTTATAAAAATTTGGATTTCGAATCTAAATCCTGCTTTACTACATCTGTAATTAATTCAATGAAATCGGATACTATTAATTTTGGAATTGAATCCAATTTAGGTATAAAACTTTTTATGTTATCAATTTGGATTATTTCTACATCTGTAATTAATTCAATGAAATCAGATACAATTAATTTCGGAATTGAATCCAATTTAGGAATAAGACTTTTTATGTAATCGATTTGGATTTGGAATCTAAACCGTGTCTTATCTTCTACATAGCACCGGCGAAAATTCAGGAAAAAATCCAGAAAAGGACAACGGGGAGTAGTCAGCGTCCGTGACAGAGTGGGGGCGTGTGAACTCAGTGGCAACAACAGTAAATTAAGCATCAAACGGAGGCCAAAAAAGGGAAAACGAAAAAAAAAACTTACCGCCAGTAAATGTGCCGAACGGTTCTCGATTTCTCCGATCATGTCCTTGGCCGAAGCTCCGGCCGCATCGGAGGGGCCACCTCCGCCGCCGGAATCCCGCCGGAAATTCAAATCCCTCCGCATTAGCGAGTGGTAAAACTCGACAACCTCGGGGATTCTACGGACCTTTTCCTGCGGCGGCTTCGATTTCGAACCCTTGGGAGGTGGAGGAGGAGGCGGCGGCGCGGTGGATTTTGAATTGACAGGTGGTGGCGGCGGAGGAGGTGGCGGCGGTGGAGCGAGTTTCGCCGAAGGCATGGGCGGCGGAGGCGGCGGCGGAATGTTGGAAATCTCAGCCAACGCGCGGTCGGCTGAATCCGATAGAGAACCGTAGCAAGGGGAAGAGACGGAGGATGTCAGAGACGAAGACGCCGACGAAGAAAACGACGAGAAAAGCGAGGCTGACGGCCGCGGAGGCGGCGGCTTCGGGACACGTGGAGCGCGGGATCTTATCCCCATTAACGCAACGGAATGTTCTGGAATATCTTCAACGAATTCCTCTTTCTTCACCTCAGCTAATTCGTTCTTCAAATTTATGTTTTCGAATAAATTGGCGGCGGTGCTATTCTGAGTGGGGCATTTTCTCAAACACCTGGCGGAGAAGCTCGATTTGTGGTAACTGTTGGTTACATCGATGAGTTTGGGAGTGGTCGACGAAGAAGAAGCATCCTCTTGCTCTTGTGTTCTCCCCGCAATTGTTCGTTTAATATCGGAAAGCTCACTCTGCATGTACTTGATTTTCTCCTCGTACTTGTGGTTCTGCTTCGTGAGCTCCACGTGCAGAAACTCGTTCTCCTCCCTCAGCCGCTCGTTCTCCGTTTCCAGACACTCGATCTTCTTCCTCGACCGCTCGATTTCCGCGTCCTTGTTCGAAATCTCCTTCTCCAGAACAGGAAGAATTGCAACGGACTCCTTAAGCAGCTTCTGCTCCAAAAGCTCCGTCTTCAACCGCGACTCTCTCTCCCGCAATTCTTCCACCAGACGGAGGAGCTCGGTGACGTCCGGCGGCCGTGGCTGAACCTGCGCGGAGGCGCGTGGGAAGTAAACCCCGAACGAGCGCGTGAATGCGGCGGCGGATCCCTTCTGCTGCTGCTGCTGATTCTTCGCCGAGCTCGGCGTCGATGAAACAACTAACCCCGGCTTCGGTGATGCGTCGGACTTCTGTTTCGTAGTCGCCGGCGACTTCTGCAACCCCATTGCCGTTTTGACTTTGCCAGCAACCATTGCTCTGGTTTTGAAATCTAGAGAGAGAAAGGAGTGATGCACATAGGTCACTGTGTTTTCTCACTGTGTGTTTTTGGCAGAGAAATGATTTTTGTCGTGAAGATTGGTAGGGGTCTGTTTGGGGAAGAGAGAGTGTGTTTACTGTATTAAGTATTAACGAATACCGAGGAACGGTCTTCTTTCTTCGGATCCTGTTTGATAAAATTAGAATAATATCCACTCTAAAATTAAATTTAAATTTGAACCCTCCCCCCACGCGCTGTATTTGTCGCGTGAGGAAAGTTTGCACTTTTAATTTTGAAGGTGGAGTCTTTAATAGTTCAATTGAATCTATACATGGTTAATATACCATATATACAAAAATTTCCTTAATGTGTAAATTATGCAAGGGAAAATTATAGTTTTTATTCCTAAAGTTTTGCACTGATATAATATTTGGTCATTTATGTTTCAATAATTTAATATTTTTTATTATATCTGTCGATTTACCAATAGTCCGTCAGTTAAGGAATTGACGTGCACACGCTTGATTCCCTTAGTACTAACGGAAATGACCAATCGTGTTAAATTTTTGAAACATGATGGACCAAATGTGTTTTTTTGTGAAAACGGGGACCAAATATGGAAAATGGTGCAAGCTTGAGGGACAAAAACTATAGTTTTCCCAATTATATAATGTAGGACAAATTACAAAGACTTCTAAGGTTAGGTTTAGTTGCGAAAAAATCATCATTATTTGTATAATTACGAGAGGGGCCTGAGGTATCTTATGTCTAAAGAATTTACCCTCACAAAATTAACAATAACAAAATCATATAGATTCCACGAAATATCCATTTTGTGGTGGTCGAAATATCCTTGGGGCTCTAATTGTAAGGTTTGTAAAACAATTGTAATTTTATTTTTAAAATTATGTTTCTTTCTTGAATATATTTAGATTACTACATTCTGTTAGGGGTTTTTGCAACGTATTAGTAATTATCTAAACGATAAGGTTTTTTTTATAATTATGCCTTACATCAAGGGGGCCCTTGTAAATAAAAAAGTTATGCTATTTAGGAGGTGTAATCACGCACTGGTTGCGCAGGTGAAATACGGCAACTATTTTCCTTTTCTGGTTTTGGATTTATGTTGTTGCAAGAAATTGAATTCGTAGTGAAAAAATAAAAATAATATAATAAGCATTAAAAGATCGTAAAGTTGAAAGGTCTTTCTAACGGTCGGCTTGTCAAATCATGAGCAGTTGTCGACGCGAGATTTTGTTTAGCATCGGAAGTTAGCTCATTTGAATTACTTAATCCAATTTTGATTTAATTCCAGATATGTAAAGTAAGATTATCATCTTTTTAAGTAACTGTTAATAGTATGGTTAAAGTAACAAAGCTAAATAAATTGTATTATTTATTAGTTATTGAAAATAAAGTTTTGCCGGGTTCCAATTTTGAGTTGTTTGATTAATTGAATAAAAGTGATTGAATTCAAGTTGGAATTGAATAACATTAAGAAATTAAATTTGATTGTATGAAATGAGGATTTTCGAGAGACGGAAAATTACAGTTTACATCCCAAGTTTGTATTGATTTCACATTTGGTCCATCGTGTTTATAAAAAACACACTTGGTCCCTCATATTACAATAATTTAACAAATTCCGTTATTTTCATCAGTTTACCGTTAATTCGTCCGTTAAGGCGATTATGGGCACAACCTTGATTCCGTTAGTACGAACCGAAAATTACTGAAAATGCCTAAAATTGAATTTTTGAAATATAAGGGACGAAATGTATTTTTTTATGAACATTGAGAACCAAATGTGAATCAGTGCAACCTTGAGGGATGAACTTTCCTCTAAGTTAATCTAAAGAACTGGAAAAAAAATCAGTGCAAACTTGAGGGATGAAAATTGTATTTTTCCAGTTTTTTAGATGAATTTAGAGGAGTTCGTCCCTCAAGTTTGCAACGATTTCACATTTGGTCCTTCATAGTCATAAAATAACACATTTGGTCCATCATGTTTCAAAATTTCAACACTTTTAGTCATTTTCGGCAATTTTCCGTTAGTACTAACGGAATCAAGCTTGTGCCCATGACTGACTTAATCGATGAGTAAACGGTAAATTGACGGAAATGACAAAAAATGTTACATTATTGAAAAATGAGGGACCAAATGTGTTTATTGTGCACATTGGGGACTAAATGTGAAATTAATGTAAACTTGAGGGATAAAAACTGTATTTTCCTATTAACTTAGATTTTGCTTTCGTTAATACTGAATGATGATTACTTATTGTAAATTCAATTTCTTTGACAAATTAATTATGAAGTTGACACTGTGAACGTTAAAAAATGTCTATAATTTATTGCAATCATAGAATTAATACAAATAGCCATAGGACGTCATCTTAGGAAAGGAATTAAAAGTTTCTCTAATATAGTAATATGAAAATATAGAGAGATTTGTTTCCTATGCAGAGAAAGTTTCGATAATTGAACCAATTTATTTCCTAATACATTGGGGACGCAAATGCAATATTATATATATTAATAAAAATCTTGTTTTCTTAAGATTTAAAGAATGAAAAATACACTTCCATTCTTTAAATTTGTACGAACTACACATTTAGTCCCTCATGTTCATAAAATGCACATTTGATTCCTCATATTTCAAAAAATCAACATTTTGAGTCATTTTTGCCAATTTTTCGTTAGGGAACAAAACTAACCAACATTTGTGCCCAAATGTGGTAATTTAATTACGACCATTTTAGTAGTAGTTGAAGTAGGGGATATAATTTTCATAAATTTTAATTGGCTGATATATCATTTTCAGACTAGGGTTAATAGGCAAAACGAATGTGACAATTAGCCAACCCTACTTCTTACGTTTCATATTTTTACTATTTTATTATTTTCATAAGGAAATGTAAATACATCTAACTCTAAAATTTATTATTTAATTTGATCAAGTTAGATTTTACACGTTTTCTTTAAACTTTGAATAAAAAATAGGGAAAAGGGTAAAACAGTAAAAGAACAAGAAAAAACACAGGCACATAGAGAAGGAGATATATAATGTGATTGGGGGGGAGTAGTGAGCGGTGAGGGGAAGAAGGGCATGAAAGGAATGTGACATGGGGTTGGGTAACTTATTAATAAATGAAAGTGGTCCTAATTTAAATCCCCAATTTATAGGTCAATTCCATACATTTGGTTTTTTGCTGGCTCAACACATGCATTCTCATCTAGTTCTAACATTTGTCCTACTCTTGTGAGAAATCGGGGGTTCGATTTCTTTTTTCGGTGCGTGTATCGTAACACCATTATATAATTTAAAAATAAAAATAAGAAAATCAGATGCATAAATTTATAGATTCTTATTTTCATGGCACGATTCATCTTTCTGACGTAAATCGTACACAAAATGTGTTTGTTTTTCTTCGGTTTGGGCTTCAATGGCGATATTGAGTCTATTTTGAACTTAGTTGGGCTTGAGAACATCAACGAAAAATGTGCCCTAGATTTTATGAGATCGAGTAAATGGATAGGGTAAAAGATAATTATATTTAGCAGTTCAAGATTTTAGATACATTAAGGTGGTGTTTGCAAACGATTATTTAAAAGCAGAAGTTAGTGATTATTTCTAAAAGTTGGGGTTAGAGATCCATTTCACTTCTCTATTTTTATTTTAGATCCGTTAGTTAATGGGCGGCTATTTAAGTCCGTTTTAAGTGATTATTTCTAAAACTTGGGGGTGTTTGCAAATATTTACGGAAAATGAACTTAAATAGAAAAAATAAGGTTATGGCTGCTTTTAAAAAAATAGCTTGAATCAAATTATTTTAAGAGAAGCAAAAACAAAAGTTAATTTTGAAAACACCTGAAAACAGATTATGAGCACAAAAAAGCTCATGATCACATTCAAAAAGCGTTCAAACACCACCTAACTATTTAAACACGATAAAACTTGGTTTATACTACGCTAAACTGGGTAGATTTTACTATTCATACACACAAACATTAGTATGTAAGTCAGCAATAAGTAGAGTTCCATTTCACTTCTCTATTTTTATTTTAGATCCGTTAGTTAATGGGCCGCTATGTATAAATCGGCCTCAATTATGTTTCCCGTGACACACTAGTTTGCAAATTTATTTAAATCATCAATTAAATGGGCCAACTGTATACATAATTTAGATATGGGGAGTGCTAAATCCTACACTAAAATCTACTAAATCTTGTACATAAATCAAATAGTTTCTCTCTCTACAACTTTTTTCTCTGACTTCTCTCCTCAACACCTTTCACTTCTTTTGTTTACTCCTTTTCCACACAATTATTGATATTCATAAAAAAAAATTTAATATTAAATTAAACAATTATTCATAACATTACTTAAATAACTATTTTAAACATTGTAGAATTATTAAACAATTATTAACGCTTATAAAATAGTTTTAAATTATCGATCTAAAGAAGAAAAAAAACATAAAACATTACTAAATAATTAATAATAATTGTTATTAAGTTATTGATCAAAAGAAAACAAACATAAAACATATACATTAAGAATATTTAATATCATTATTAAATATTAAATATTAATAAATAATTATTATATCTAAATTAAAAAAAATCTGACATCCTTTTGCGTCCACCATGGATGCTTTTTCTTCCACCTTGCATCCACCTTGGACGCACGACTACAACAACCCGCGGCTATGGTGGACGCAGCTTTCTTCACCGCACGGCCACCACAGACACCCACATGTCTCCGTCCGCATTCTTTTATAGCGCGATGTAAAGATTTTTTTGCTCGTTCGTCGATTGAATTGATTTGATTTTTGGGTGATTTGAAATATGTCGTTGTTTCTATATGGATTAAAAAATATTCAATCTGCTCTGAAGCATGATGAATTGAAGTGTTTAGTTTTAGATATAAGGTTTCAATTTTCAATTTTCATCTTACAAAATTTGATGGATGAACGCATTCCATCCCTGCAA